TTGCTCTTGAGTACATTTGGAGCCTGCTTTTCTCTTGGCCAGCTGGGAATTTTCTTTGTTGCCATGACTGGGATGAATGTTGGCTCCCAGAGACACAGAGCTGTGAGGACAGTAATTCTCTGTGGCTCTTTGAGGAGGTTTGATGCAGGAGCTGGCCCCAGTAAGCTGCAGCTCTTTACTCCCAGAGCAGAGAGAAGCGATGCACCATGGCCAGCTCCAGAACATCACTTGAAGAACAACACCTATTTTCTACTCAGTTCCTGCCTTTTCCTTCCTGGAAGGAAATAATGATCCAAATGCAAAGAACGAGAAGACAGCCTCACTTTCCTTTGCAATCTGATGGCAATTCCCATTTATTACCACATCCTGGAGGCATCTGGGATCTCACAGATTCAAAGATTAACATCAAGGCCAAAGAGTGTTTCATCAGCAAGAGGAAAATCTCATTCAGCAGAGGAGGGATGCTGAGTCAATGGGTCTCAGTGTCTGAGCTGGCCGTGAGTCATCCTGACAGCAGCAGGAATTGCTGCTGTAACCTCCAGAGCAGCTTGGATTCAGAAACAATCCATCACCCAGCCAAGGAGTCATTTGTGATGGCCAGATTTGGATCCAGCTCTTTCAGTGCTCCAGGAGATGAGGGTTTGGCTCCACTCCACCCTCCTGTCCTCCTTCATGGAGCTGTAAAGTCGCGTTGCACTTTCGTCTCGATGTGTCAGGAGGGGGTTTGCTGCTTGTTCCAGAGGCTTTGGGGAAAGAGAGGAACACAATCCTGTCCATCCCAGATGTTTCAGCAGACAGGATTAAGGAACCAATTCCCTTGATCCCCCACATTGCTGCTTCTCACCCCCTTCCACCTGCTCTCCTTGCCTTACCCCGCTTGTCTCTGTGGTTCTGCTCCCTGCTAAGATGGTTTGTGACATTCTAGCTTGGGGCATAAACAGCACAGGGCTGGCTTTGAAAAATATACATGAATAAAAGGTCAAAACTCTCACAGAAAATAATAAAGTTCTTGGTTGGTTGCTGGGTTGGTTTTTTTTTTCCTGTTGTTTTGGTTTGATTTTTTTAATGCATAGTTATGAAAAACAACTTAACCTTTGGGATTTTGAGGAATTCACTGTGACAATGGCCCAGTTTAAAAATAACAGCTGCTGCTCCAAGATGAGTGTCCAGAGATGCCAGGTTTGTTCTGTTGGCCCTAAGGATCACCGAGTGTGTAGTCCCATCTTTAGAGTCCTGCTAATATTGCTGCTCCTGGAAGTGCAGAGTATTGGATATTGGAGTTCCAGGGATGAGTTTTCTTTAGTGAGAAAACAAGGACTTCATTATGCTTCTGGTCTCTTTGATCCTGCCTGCTGTCAGGCTCGAATTTTTCTTTAACAATCTTACAGGGGAAGAGAGAAAGACAAGGGGGAAAAGCCAGAAATGACAAAGTTTTCACTGTAACAACTGTAAGCAGAAAAAACCTTGGTAAAAGGAGAAACACTCATCATGTCTGACTCAGACAAGGATCAGTGTGTTACTGACAGGTGCTTGGGCCTCTTTCCCCCACACGACATCAGAGAGAAAAATTCCTGCTTCATCTGCAAAGGAGAAGACTCAGGTTTTTAAAAACTTTCTATAATGATTTCAGGAATTCAGGGTTTGATTTTGGAGACTCGACCTTCCAGAGGATCATGTCATTATGAATATTTTCCCTGAAAGAGATCTGGGGAAGTGGACAGTTCACAATTAATAGAGTGGACACGAGTAGCAAATGTCTAATATCACTGTTTAGGTGAGACAAATGCATCGGTTCTGTCATGAGAGAACACTGAGTGCTGTTTGTTAATTGTGAAGCAGAGGAGCAGGAGGAAAAAGCAAAATGCACAAGAGTATCTATGAAGCTGTGAGATAAAATTACCTGGGAGTTTTCTTAGGAAAGCCAACTTGTCTTTACACGAGAAGAATGTCATTTGTTTTGTTTCACTTTGTTGTGTGAGATCAGTGTTGCCACATCTTTTGTTTGGATGCAGACAAAAAAGTCATTAACTATTGGCAGACTCCCCTTTCCAGGGCTCCCAGAGCTCTGCAGAGGCTCCAGGTGAGTCACCAACCCCATCTCCACTGTGTGGAAAGGCCAGGCCTGGGTGGATTGGGGGTTATCCTGCTGATTTACTGCCTGCTTGGATGAAACAATGACTCAGATTTGGCTGTTGGAATATTTGGGCTGGAAGAGACCTCAAGAGATCCAAACTCGACCTTCCCGCACAGAGCAGGGTCAGTCAGCCCCAAAATGTGTCACAGAGAGGGTTTAGTCCTTCTCAAGTGCAGGATTTGTCCTCAGTGAATGTCATAACATTCCTGATGTCACTCTTAATATTTGAAATAATATTTTTTGTCTTTGTTTGGATGGGTCAGATCACTCTGAGTGAAATCACCAAACTGACTGAACTGTGGAGCTGCAATTTGCCCTGAAAGCGTGCAAGAGATGAGTTTAATCCTGTAGCATCCTTCCCATGCATTTAGCCAAGAGCACCCTGTGGACATCTATTCCTACCCTTTCCTCTGCTGGGTTATCAGGATTACTCATTTTTCACAGAGGGCTGTAGGTTCTCATTTCAACCAGAGCTCCTTCCGTGTGCTCACAGGCCTGGGAATGTCTGACAGAAGAATTCCATCTCTTAATCTCCTCTGTGGTCAGCTCACACTCTGAAGAAAAATCTCTGGCCCAAGAGAGAGAACAGCTTAAAGCTCAGAGGAAATATTTCTTCTTTACTTGGTGTTATTTCTGCTCAGTGAGGAAAAGGCTGGAATCAGCCTCAGGTTTTCAGTGTGGATCACACACTCAGGGTAAGCATCACAAGGGTCAAACTCACAGGAAGAATATGAGAGGCCTTCCCAATTTATTTCATTCATATCTTGTAATATCAAATGTCATATCTTGACATTTGATATTACGACAGCTTCAGTCCTGTTACTTCCTGGGAGCCACAGCCCTCTCTGAAAGGCTCCTTGGGGAAATCTGGACCAGGAAGGTTTGGAGCCACGTTACTCTGCCCTTGTGTTTGGTGCTGGTGTGGAGTAAATTCCTCACTGCCTGCAGAGAGGAGGGGAACAGACAGGTCTCACTTTGTGCCTCATGGAGGGAGGTGAAGTGAACTGCCACAGCTGTGATTTCCTGGGATTCAGTTCTGGTTCCTGAGCCCCTGGAGGAGTTTAGACAGAGCAGTTTCTCCTCTCGGAGTCTGAATGGATCTCATCAGGCTGTAGGAACAGCTGCCACTCTTCACTGACTGTGCTGTGAGTGGTGATTTTAGGGTCCTTGCAGGGCTTCTTCCACTCCACACAGAGCCAGCTCATCCCAGAGCAGCCAGCAGGGGACATTTCATGTGCCACCACGAGCTGGCCATGTGTGCTGGGAGCCTCTGGAAGCTGTGGGATGCTGGAAGGTTCTGACACAACATTATCATCCACTGCTCATGGCCTCAGTGTGTCCAAAGCACTGAAAATGAACAGCATTTCCACTCTTTCTAAACCTTTGCACTTTATAAACCCTCTCAAGTTAAGACAGATTATGGGAGGAAGGAAAAAGGACCTGACTGGATTCTCTTCTCAGCTTTTTAATGTCACCACCACCAAATCTGTGTATCTCAATCCTAAATCTTTCTCCTGCTAGTCCCTATTTTCTGCGATTCTTATCACCCAAAGCCACCAAGCTTCGATACTTCAGGCTGAGATTTTCTGACCTGGCCTCTCTACGTGCTGCTGCTGCTGTAAAAACAAGAATCTTTTCCATCCCATCCAGCAAAAGTAAGGGATGGAGAAGTTACATCCCCTGGCTGAGACCTAAGAGCAAAACTTCCATTTCTGCTTTCCCAACGTTGTCCTTTTTCCCCAAATTGCTGTAGGAAGGTCCCTCCCACAAATGTAACTCAAGCTGGGTGTGATTAATAATTCACATTTAGTGCTAAAAGCAAATCAGAGTTAATTTTGTATATTTTGCTTCCCCTCTTTAAGCGGTCGGTTTCCGCGGGCGCGGAGCTCGCGGTGACTCACGCCTTACATAAGGAACCAAAACATTCTTCAGTTTACAGAGAAGAATGTTCCTGCTCATTATGGGCATGAAAGGAGATTGCTGCATTTCAAATGACATGTATAATTTAGACACATTTCTGGGACTGTTTGGAACAGGGAATGAAGAGAAACTAAAATGTTTGAAGTGACTTGAGTGCTTCATAGTTTTTAATGTGACTGGCAAAATACACAGCCCGATAACTTTTAAGGCTGCTAATGGAAGAATGGCTCTGAAACTCTAACACACTTCTTTTTCTGTTTCTTAATACCAGTATTTATTTTAAACCAGGTCTGCTGCATTTGGATGGAGCTGGGAGATTTTTTTCCTGAATGTGAAACCTTCTCTACAAAGGGAGAGCATGGAATATTCATATTCTGTATTTCAACAGTGCAGAGTTTATTCAAAAGAGAATTCAGTAACGTATTGGGAAGTATTTATTTCACGGTGTTCTTTTTAGAGTGTTATGGCAAGCCAAATCCAACACAACCTCTGGAGTTTTGAGGCTGGACAAGCCCCAGATGCCCTCATGTTCTGCAGATTATCCTCACACATTCTGCACTGGCACGCTTTGGTGACCACGGGCTGTCCTGAGAAGGCAGAACTGTGATTCTCTCCTCTCTCTCTGCCCCATTTATTGAGACATTTTAGAAGGAACCAGACACAATGTCTGTGTTCCAAGGGCTGCTCTTGGCAGCAGCTGGTTTGGTACATTTCTCCAGCAAATTGCCCATTTTTTTCAGAGCTCTACGAGTCTTTTGAGGAAACGCAGTGGGCAGCTCCCTCTGAGCAGTGGGGCAGCCTCTGTCCTAACTTTGGAACCCCCTGTAGAAATTTGGATGAGATCAATGCCTCAACAAAAATCTCTCAAAACTGTTGCGTTATTTATTTTTATTCTGCTTCAAGGACAACGCTTTTCAAACCAAGAGATGACACAAAGGAGCCCTGGGCTGTATAAATATAGAATCTTTTTATTTTTTTGGTTAATAGATACAGTACAATTTTTGACTACATAAGAAAGCCTTGTTTTCAGTGCATACATTCTTCAGACACACAGGAACATGGCAGACAAACATTCCTTGGTGGTTTGAACATGGCACTTGGTTTATTTCTGTAAGTCCCAAGTTCCTGGCTTTTCCCAGTTTCCCTCAGTTTATTTCTGTAGGTCCCAAGTTGCTGGTTTTTCCCAAATTTTCAGCAGCTGCTTGGACAACTCAAGGTCTGAGGGAAAATGAATTGAGTGCTACCAGGAGAACAGGACACTGCTCAGTGCATCCCACACTGCTCTCCCTGACCCAGGCCAGAAAGTTTTCCTTTCTATCTCCACAAAAATGGAAATAACAATGTCAGACAAACTACGCAGTGCCTGGTCTCAACACCTCCACAGTCCCCTGTGCACTGCCTGACTCCTGAGAGTCCAAATCCCAAACTCCTCCCTGAATTTCACTTGTGTAAGATGATGCTGGTGCCGTGACTTTGACAAAATTCTTTCTGCTCTTTTGTGGTGAGTAAAAAACCCAGTAAAAAATGGATCCCAGGGTTTGGCCATTACATTTTCAGGGAGGAAAAAAAGAATTATTGCTGCCTTTTGTGTTTTTAATTCACTGTATGATAAGGAAAAACCTCTAGGCTGATCTGTGGGTACGATAGTGATACTGAGCAATTCCTGTGCTCAGGGAAAGTTGATAATGCTTATCTTGCTCTGTAGCCATTTGCTTGCAAACAGTTCCTGGCGTGTCCCCTTGGTGCTGGTGGGTTTTAGGGATCCTGGAGTGCACAGGGGAGCAAATCCAGTGAGAGAAACACCTGGATGCTCTGGGGCAGCAGGTGAGTGGAGGGAGAGTTTGTGGCAGGGGGATGTCAAGCAGAGCAGCTGGTGTCTGCAGGAGCCCTCAGTGTGTTCACCTGCAGCACTCAGGGCATTTGTTTGACACCTTTACTCAGAGTTTTAGCTGACTTCCTTTATATCCCAAGCAGATACTTGGGATAAATCTTGCTGGGGATCTTCTTGTGGGGATAACTTGGGAGAACCTTACAGAAACCTCATGGTTTGAGGGAAGGACTCTGGGAAAGATCAGATTCACACAGTCACCAGCCTTCATTTTGCTCCAGACAGCAATATTGAAAAATCAGTAGATTAAAAAGCTTCTCCCATTCAGGGAAGGGCACAAAGAGACTTCCAGACAAAGTAATACAAACTGGTTTTCCTTGGCTATATATTGAGGATTTAATGTGAAAATCTCGCTTTAGATTATCTAGTTCAGCCTCTGCAAGCACAGGATAAACAGCAGTGAAATGATCCTATACCTGATCTTATGGAAAAGGCAGAGCAAAGCAATCCAAAGAGACTGGGAGAGCAAATAACAAGAAAAAGATGAAAAGTAGAGAAAAACAGGAGGCAGGAAGTTGTTACAAGCACCAGCCTGAACAAGAACATGCAGGTGAAGGCACTTGGACACCTAAGTGGGAGGTGATTGTTGGAGAAGAGACAACACAATTCCATGGAGAGCTCTGAGCTCCTTTGCCCTGATTCTCTGGGCTTGCAGGAGCACAAAACCAGTGGGAGTGAGCACCATCAAAGGAAACAAAGGTTGGTGTTAATACAGATCTCACTGAGCTCGGGTTAGAGAAAGCAGCTGGCAGACAGGAGTCGAGTAAGAATCCCTGAGAAGTCTGAAAAAATAATAAACATCACATCATTTAAACAATTTACCCCTTCTGATCCTCTAGCCAATCCACCAGCCTCCAATTAAAACCCAGGCCGTGGAAATCCCTCACCTTTAACACAAGCTTCACATGGTGAGGCCTCCAGGAATGAGATAAACCTGCCAAATTCCTCCAGATTCCTGTTTCCTAAGTGAAACTAAATAACGTGGAGAAGAAGTGAGAGGCAGAGACACTCCCAGCCAAGAGAGCTGCTGTGCCATGGCACAAGTGGGGCACTGTAAACTGGAGCCTGGCCTGCAAGCATTAGTGAAATGTTTAGTACAATACTTAACTCTGTTACATCTGGGTATTTCTTTCTTTTTGGACTAAAATGTTACAAATTTTATCATATAAATGCAATAATATATTTGTTGCTACAGGGTACACTATATACATCGTTGGAAGAAGAGAACAATAATTAAATTAAGGGAGGCAAGAGAAGGACAAACAAAATATTAGTAAATAAAATAGAATATGTTCAATAATACTTTTCAGGCAATACTTTTGCTTGTTACATTTACTATAAGGAGGAAAAAAAAAATATCTTTCACTCATTAACACTGGGAACAGCTGCCCAAACATCAGTCAGTCCCTTCCATCGCTGGATCTGCTCGGGACGTTCTCGATTCTGCCACTGCAGAGGAGCCCTCAGTTTTGGGGCTGTCAGTGCAACCAGGGCTTTAAACATCTCGGGCACTGGAGCCTGGGTCCTGTTCCACCCTCTCAGGAGGCACAGAAAGGCTGGGGTTTGCTGCTGAGAGCCAGAAGGGCTCCCCAGGTGTGCTCCCGTGCCTCTGCTCCTGGAGAAACCCCTGCAGCTCATCCTGCAGAGAAGGGGAGGCCACCTGCTCTGTTCACCCAGCAGAGCTTCCCATTCTTCCTCAGAACACAGAGCACACGTGCAGGTTTTGTTCCTACTCTTCAAAGTTCCTGAGTGAAGGTTTTTCAACGCTGTTTGCTCACCCTCCAGCTCAAGGTGCAGTATCAAACATCTCCAGCCCAGCCCATCGACAGCAGTGCCACACACTCTGTCTGAGCTTTCTTCTCCTTTGCCTCAGCAATAATTTATTTCCACAAGAACTGATTGATTACTTGATCAGAGCTATAGATAGTTAATAGTGTTTGATGACAAACCAATCCAATGAGCTTCCTGGGGCTCACCAGAATTCTTTCCCAGTAGTTTCTTCTCTTCTATGACCAGCTCTACTTAACACATAGGTACTAAAATACAAAGCAGTGCAAAATGACCATAAAGCAGCTACAGCTTTATGAGCAGGGGGGCTCATACAACTACAACTACGAGCAGGGGGCTCTGGAGGGACTGCAGGTGATTAATAAGCGACTCTGAAGTCAAGGAGAAGAAGCAGTGCAGTTCCCCAGAGCCCATCCTTCAGATGCTTGAGAGTTCACAGTTAACGTGGTGTGGGGTTTGGAGGTTTGTTTTCCCCTTTGACAATACCTGAGGCTTGTTTGTGATTCCTTCAGCACAGCCCACTGCAAGCACTCATCCAGAAAACTTCCTTTGCTGCTGCGAGGGTGTGCAGCTGTCTTTGCCAAGGTAACATCATCTTTTGCAAGGCTTGGATTCCATCCCCCTCTAGTCTGAATCACAAAGAAAAATTCCTTTTTCTGCTGGAGAAGTCAAATCATAGAAGGAAAGGAAAGGGCTGTGCAGAGCTTGGAGGAAACTGCACAGGGAGCCATTTATGGATGAGTTTGTAACTCAGGAGGTTGCAGCCCTCGCTGTCAGTGAACATCTTGTTCAGCCTGGCTTTTTCTCCTTGCAACCTGGAGACCTTTCCCTTCCTAAACTTTAAATCTGACTCTGGTTGTTACAGAGCACGTGAAAGGCTGGGGATTATTTGCTGATGTCTGAGGCTGCTGTGGTGATGCACAGGGCACCTGGGCACACTTGTCACAGTCCCTGCCACACACAGCTCCGGGGCAAAAACCCACTGGGAACATCTGACAGGCGAGAATTTGTGATCCTTTCAGTCCTGCTGCAACAAAAGCTTTGAATTACCCTGAACCCAGGAAGGGCTTTGCATATGATACCAGTATTTACCTTGGCAAGACAGTCAGAGATAAATGTGTGTCACATGGGCTTGGAGCTTAACAGGGACAGGATCCCCAGGGTGAAACCCTTGGGCACCCGCCACAGAATCCAGAGGAAATGCTTTTTTCTCTTTTCTGTGTTGTTTTAGTAAATAGCCTGTGTGCAGAAAGGAAACATAAAAATGCTGCTGCCCTGCTGGTGCCTCAAGGATGTGTGTGAGTTTTTGTGTAACTCTCATGCTGGTAATGAGAGTTTTCTGCACATTCACACAAACGTGTGTGAACTGGGAAACTCTGTTTGAGTTGAGAAGGTTCTTACTTAAGGCACTGATTTTTGCCTTGAAACCATTACAGATGCATCTCCAGCAAGGTTCCCTATTGCATGTCTGCAGAATAAACTGCTTTTTGAACAAGGGGAAAGCCCAGGGCACCAGATTTAACCACACTGTGTGCCCTGCTGGCCCAAAAGAGCAGGCACACCAGCACTTCCAGCTTGCTCTGGGCTGTGCCATCTTTAGGAGTGTATCCTCTGGGCAGTGGGAATAATTAAATCCAAATTGCAACCAAAATAGCTTGGATTGCAAAACATTTCAGAAATATTTACAGGAGGTGAAATCCCAAGTTAGGGAGGGTGTTTCAATTTCAGTTTTTCTCCAAGCCCAAAACATTCATGTTTTTCAACAGATTCCTTCCAGCACTGGCCTAACCAATCCCTGCAGGATGTGCCAGGGTCAGCAGCTTGAATCTTGTGTTCCCAGCAGCTTGGCATGACCTCCACAGGGTGAAATGGGAATGCAGGAACCTGTGGATCTGCCAGGGTCAATGAACAGCCCCAGCCAGGGGGAAGGAGTGGCAGCACCTCAGGGTTACACCTCCCTCTAGGACTGACAGAATGTCATTAATTCACTGCAGATCTTGCAATAGGCCTTTTAAAAAGAGAAGAGAGAAGATGCTCTTAAATTGTTTCCAATCACACCCAAGACGTGCCAGAAGAAACAGGTGAGGCATTATCCCAGCAGAATTCCCTTGTGTTTCATCCAGGCCCCCTGGGGCACAGGAGAGCTGGCAAGGCTGGGGTGCAGCCTGTGCTGGGGGCACTGCTTACACTGGGGGGGCCGAGTAGTGGATGACAGAGTTGTAATCCGGGGGAGGGCTGTGGCATTCCAGGTTGGGATCCATGGGGAGCAGGACAGAGTCCTCCAGGGGAAAGTCCATGGTGTCCTCTTCCACCTGCACTGCTGGCTGGTACTTGACAGTCTCGTGGTCACACAGGATGGATTCCTTGCTCCTGCTCACAGCTCTCCTCCTGTTGGGAACAAACATTGGGATGTATCCGCCCTGGCTCCGGAATTAGTGGGCAAAATAATTTCTTTAAAGAGTAAATATATAAAAATATCAGTTTACCTCTCTGGCACCCTGTAAGGCAGTGACATTTTGCTGACTGGATGAGGGAACTGAAATAGGTATTTTAAATAGCTCTGTGTTTTAAAAGTAGATTTGGGAGTAATTCCAGCTCTGCTGCCCTGTCCTTTCAGCTCACCACATTTCAGTGCACTACAGATCTCTTACTTGTAAAGGCACCTGTCCTGTACACACAGTAATATCCTCCCTCATTGTTCTGACAGAGGTCAGTAAAAATTTGACTTTTCTGAAAGCAGAACTGAAGGCTCTGACTCTTCTTGAAGCATAATAAAGGAGGAAATACTGAATAATCTCTGACAGACTCCAATTTAAACCGATACTGAAAGCAAGAGTGTGTGTTGAACGGGCTCAGGCAGTGCAGGGCAAAATCCCTTTGATATTCCCAAGCCCTTTACCATTCCTGACCCAGGGGCAGGTGAAGGACAGTGCTTTGCAGCATTCCAGATGCTTTTGTCTCCTGTCTTCCCTTGTTCCAGGTGATGGAGGGTGGCACACAGCCACTTCCATCACATGCAGCAGCCTCAGGGTTAAAAGCAAAGCAGAGAACCCTGAGATTTGTATCAGGAGGTGACCTCGAGGAACAGCAAGGGCTGTGGAGAACTCAAAAGGTTCTTTTTGTCATTGCCTTAAAAAGAATGTTCTGCCAACCTTGGTTTCTGAGCAATTCATTGGAAGAGGCCTGGATAATTGAGGGGTTCTCCAGAGGATTCCAGTGTGAGAGTGCCTTTTGAGCTGCTGCACTTTGCTCAGGACCCTTTAACTGCAGCTCTTGGGAAGGAACCCCAGGCACAGACTCATCACAGCACTGCTCAGCTCAGAATGACTGGGAGAATGAAAAATCAAGCACTTTGTGAGTGTACTTCTTATGTGTTTAAAGTAGTATCAAGTTACATTTTAATGACCCAAAACCAAATCTGAATAATCAACAGTTCATCAAATAATTGTAGAATTCATTACACTCATTTTACTGGCACTTCTGCAGTGTTTCCAGTCCCCAGCAGCTGCTCATTTGCTCACTGGGGTGCTTTGGGAAGAAAGCAGAGCCAGTTCCTGCTCCAGGGAACAAACCAGGAGCCAGACACAGCAACTGGAGGGAGGGCAGCAAGAGCCATGAATAGGAAAATAGCAGTTCCAGGACAGGAACTGTGTGTGTGAGAAGTTTTTGGGATGGTACAGCAGAGAGAGCAGCCTGGATGGCCACACACAGCTCCTTTCAGCTGCAAAGGGTAAATCTGCCCTGCTGGGTTCTGCTGTTGGGACTTTACAAGTTGTGTTCTCTTGCCTCTGAATTTGGAAAGTCAATCTGTCAAAAGCTTCAGGTTTCCACAAGCTGCAGATATTGTCACCGGCTGACTAAACCAGTGTCACTATATTAAAAAAAACAAATGTTTTTTAAAATTTGTGGTGGTTTTGGGAAGATCCCAGGTGTTCAGAGCTCTGGCTGGAGTAGAACACTGATTTCTGCTCTGTGCACAGCCACAGGAGCAGCCTGCAGGCTTCATCTGTGGATTACCTACCCCTGCAGCTCTCTGCTGTGGGGGAATGTGTGGTGATGTTCCTACATCACTCATGAAACTCCTGTACAGCCAAATTCACACATAACACACAGCTGAGGCTCTGATCAGCTGCAGAGGGACGTGGGCTGATTCATTTAGGGTCTGGTTTTAGTGTGCTGGGCTGGCTTTGCATGGCAGGTTTGAATCTCCAGCTTTGGGAGGTGAGCCTGAGCTGTAAGAGCCAGCCCACCACGTCTTGCATGTCCAGAATGGGGTTCTATGATTGCTGCAGAGATTTTAGAACAAAACTGCTCTTTCTGTGCTTTCACACCTGCACAAGGCATTGAAACCAAACCAGAGCAGAACTTCTAAAATAAATACTAACCCTCAGAACTTCAACAAAAACTGTAGCACCCTCTGCTTACACAAGTTTTTCCTCATTGTCCAGAGAGAAACATGAGAGGAAACTCCTTGTGCATCCTACAGATTTAGCATCTGTCCATCCTCTACACATTTTGTCTGCAGATAAACCACACAATGCAACCACACTTTGCCTCACTGCTTATTTCTGGAATTCTATTTTTGTTGCTCAGTTCCATTGACTCATGTCAGACAATTCCATGGATGCTCTGGTTTCCAATTTGCCAGGTATTAAAGTTGCCACTGGAGACAGGAGAAGTTTGAGAGTATCTGTTTAATTTGGCTCCCAACCTGTCTGAGTTATTAGGGTTTGGTTTAGTCACACAGTGGGAGTTTTTCAGCCCCCTGCAAGTGTTCCTGTAGGGTTCCTGCCCCTGTGGGTCAGGAGTTTGGGTATCTGGGAGTAACTCTGCCTGCTGCTGAAATCAGGCTGGGCTTTGGAGGATTCCTAAATTTGCCATCTCCTCTCTGCTTCAAAGACAGAAAGCTGCTGGCTTAGGTCAGAAGGAAGTTGTATCACTTGCTATCTAATGGCAGAGCAAAATGCAATTAACTTCCAATACTATTCCTTTCATCTAAATGCATTTCCTAATTAAAGCTCTCCGTGGGCCTTTGCATTTCCACCTTTCATGCTGCTGCCACTGGCACGCTGTGCACATACAGATGCTGCTCCTGGGGCTGAGGCTGCTCATCCCTTTTCCATCTGCCCTTGGCATCCAGGAACTGCTCCAGCCCCTCAGAGCTCAGCCTTGCCCTGGCTGTGGTGGCTGCTCAGGGCTCCAGGGGACACCAGAAGCCCCTTTGTGGCCTGGGCCACTTGCCCTGTGCAAAGAGAGACCCCCAGTAAAGACTCTCTGACCGGAGGGGTTTGGTTACTCACACAGCTGTGCAGCTCCACAAGTCACTGGTGGTTATGTAATGAACTAATTTCATTAACATTTATGAATTTAATCTCATTAAAAGCCGGCCATTCCTTGGTTCAGGCCCTGCCCTGCCCAGCAGGGGTTTCCTCCCTGCTCTGCCTCTGCAGACCCCACAGTGCTGGGGAGCCCATCAGAGATGCTCAGTTTGGATAAAACCATCCCAGCCCAGGCTCCCCTGTCAGGGTTCCCACCATCATCCCGAGGATCAGGGTGGGAAAACCACAACATTCAGCTGGAATTCAGCTGGAATTCAGCTGCCCACTGACCCAGACCTGTCACAAATTGCAGTGACCACCCTGAGAACTCATTTGTCCTTGCACAAGGTGTCCTGGTTGGGGACACAGCCTGAATATTGAGGGATCTTCCACAAATTTTTCAGTTTTCTGAAGGTGCCAAAGTTGTTTAGAAGATGCTGCAGAGGACAATCCTGCAGTAGCTTGAAGGCCTGAGTGACCTACTGAGGCTTTTTCTTCCTGCTGTACAAACCACAGATTTTGGAGGTAGAAAAACACTGAAATCATCAAAGAGCTGGGAAACCATTAGTGGAGCTGTTTATTTTATAGAAGATGGTTTCAGTTAATCTAAATTTTGGGGTGAATAACTTGAAGAGGACTGTGGAGAAAGAAGGATGGCTGCAGGAAAATCCCCCTGAGCAGGGAGGGATCCCAGCCCCAAGTGCAGCAGCTCCTGCTGCTCTGCAGTAAGAAACATGAGAATTTTGCTCTCAGTAGGAAAAACTAATGGACTTTTCTGTCCATGTAGGAAACCTGGCCATGTTCAGAAGCTGTGTTTAGGGAAAGATGAGAAATTGGGCTGATTGCTGCCAAGTAGAGCAGTTTGTCTCATGACTCCATCTCCTAATAACATGTAGGAGCTTCAGGGCTTTGTAGGAGCTTTCAAAGGTGTTTAATGAGGCTCAGAGTAAGAGTGGTTATTTTTTTATTTTAATTTTTCTGCAATTAAAGAAATAAAAGGGGTATTTTTTTACCTTTCTGATTCACAGTTTGCTTTAATATATTTTCAACTGAGTGCTGTGCAGGAGGAATTTCATCCTGGGCTCTCCTCTGGCAGTACCAGTGCATCAGCATTCTGCTGGCAAGGAGGACTCGAGGGGCTGGGCTCAGGAATTCATTGTTTGGAAGCATTTTTAAATACAAATTGAATGTTCTAAAGCTTTCCCAGGCCAAAGCCACCCTCGTGTCCCCTCACACGTGTGGCCAGGCTGCTCAGCTGTCCCTGTCCAAAAGCAGTGGGATGGAAAACACTGCAGTCAAATCCACAATTCCCCTTCTAGTCCTTGCTACTGTAAGCACAGTGCATAATCCTTGTAAAAAAGGTGGTTTACATAACTCCTGAGTAGCTACTCATTCCAAGTTGTAGTTTGGAGAGCTCAGGTCAGGTAATAGTGCAAGCTGCTGCACGACACAACAATAAATGTATTTCTTATTTCTGCCCTGGAGCAAACATGTTCCCATGCCTCGTTTCTCTGAGAAGGTGAGAAAGGATTCCAGCCCAATCCTGGCTGTATTTTTGTTGTGTTCTTTGTGTTTGGACACGAATGCCTGCTGTTCCTGAGCAAAATCCACCATTTCAGTATTCCTGCCTTGCCTTAGGCCCAGCTTGTTTTGGCAAAGGCAGAGCCCTCAGTGATGGGATGTGGATGCAGCATCCAGAGCCCAGAGTGGATCAGCTGAGCCTCAGCTGATCTCGTGGGCCTGGGCCAGAACCAGATCAGGGCTCTCTGAGCAACAGAGGATAATTGGGTTTGGGGGGAGAAGGGGAAGAGCTGGGGGAGGACAACTGAGCAGATACCAAACCTTTTGTCATCTTAAACGATAACTTGATTATAGAGTCTCTGGGAGGATTTTAAAGCAGGGCTTGGCAGTAGCCTGATAATATTATGAGATGGAACCTGACACCAGAGTCATCCCATCATTAAATCCCTCTGTGCTCCCTGTGCCTCCCTGAATGCTGATTCCAATGTTGTTATCCCAGTCAATCTTTCCATCTCTCACTGCAGCTACTGCTGTGACTTTCTACTTCAGCTGCATAAAATACTCAGAATGTCCCTGCTCTGTTTTAGCAGTAGGAAAAGCTCAGGCCTGGTTAGTCTAGCCTAACAGTGAGCCAGGCCCAGAGTATCAGATTCATCCTCACTAAACTCTTGACACTGACACTCCATGGTGTGTGTTGTTGGCAAATTTTAAACTCAACAGAGGAATGAATGCAGGATAAATAAACAGTGAGATTTTGGCAAAAATAATAAATGCAGCCACCCTGGTTTAGAAAACATGCTAAGCCTTTGAACAGCTTTGTTTTAGAAAAGAAAGACTTTGAAAAGGATCCAGGGTAAATGTTTTTGATAGAGAGAGATACACAATTAACAAGGGTGACTTTATCTCCCCTGTTAAAGCCACACTCCCTTCTGACCTCTCTAGATTATTCCACAGGCTTTGGAGCCTTGTCTGTCCATTATCAGGACATAATGGACAGACATTATGTCCTGATATAATGACACCCAGGGGCACCCAGGGGTGTCCTGTCCTCAAACGAGAGGGCTTTGGGGTGCTCTGCTCTTTAAAACTGCTCTTTGTGCCAATGAGGGCCTGCAAGATTCCAAAAAAAACCCAAAAGGCAGCTGACAAAAAAAATCTTTCTCAGCTGGACCTCAAACCCCCAGGGAAGGATGTGGCCACACCTGGGTGGGTGCCATGGGCCTGGGAAATGGGACAGCAGCACAGTTTGCTCTGCTGGGATGGCCACAGAAGGGCACAGGAACCTTGTGCTGGATGAAATCCCCATGGAAGTGTTGATAGAATCCTCATGGAGGGGTTGAGTGGAAGTGGGGAGAGCCCAGGTGGTGGGGTCAGACAGGGATTCACTGCCCCCAGAGAGCCTCACATTCACTCCCAGTGGCCCTGAGAGCAGTTCAGAAGGTTTTCCTGGAAATCCGGAAAGAACAGGCTGTTATGGAATTTTTGTGTTTCTACATCTGGCTGGGTGTTGACTTTTCAGATTTTCAGGAGAAAGCTTAGACAGGGCAGAGAGGGAACCTTCCTCTGCCAGCTCTTTATCCAAACAGGAGAAATGCAAAAGGGAAAAGCTGCTTAGGGGTGATGACAGGAATCCTCAGAGGGATAAACCCCACCTGTGTGTGCTGGATTTGTGCCAATGTGGCACCATGCAGGAAAGAGGTGAATCAGCCCAGGTAAAGCATCACAGCAATGCAGCTCCTGACATTTGAGAAGGTGCCATTTGGTCTCCATAGCAATGGATTGTGCTGGCAGGAATGCTCTGGGTGTGTGCAGGGGATAAAAGCATGGAAATGGGTTGGGATTGCTGCTAATCCCACCAGGTCCAGCCCTGGGATGCTGCTACAGGGAAAATACTGCTGGGCAGCAACATTCCTGAGGCCACACTCCCATCCAGAGTGTTCTAATGCTCCTGTTAGTGTTGTCCACCTTTCCTTATTGAAATCTCCCTTTTCCTTCTCCCTTTTCCTCCTCTCCTTCTCCCTTTTCCTCCTTTTTTTCTCCCTTTTCCTCCTTTCCTGCCTTCAAACAGCAGGGAATTGATGCTTCTAAGGCATCAAAAGATAAGGCAAGGCCTTTCCATCTGCTTTTCTCTCTGAGTGAGAGTCAACCCCTCCAAAACTGCCACACTCTGACCATGTCCTCTCCTGGGAACTCTCCCAGAATATCCAGAAGTGCACCAGGCTTCTTCTCATCCCTCATTTCTCTTTAATGCAGAAAAGGGGTGACTTGGTGTAGAACAAACAACTGCTCTGCTGGGAAAGGTCGTGGAGTTCCTCAGTACAGAGAAAACTCATACAAATCTCAGTAGATTACAGAGAAAAATCTAGGCAAGTAGTAATTAGCTTAATTAACTGAATAGACACAGAATTCTTTGCTACATAATAATTGTTTTTAAAATATTTTGGGCAGATTTATTTGAAATTCTACATGTTGACATTTGAATCAGTAAAATGGGTGGAGAAGTTTTTCACTACTGGCTCACCTCTGCCTGTGTGGTTGGTACTGAAATACAAAGAACTGTGAGCAAAAAGCTAAAAATCTGCTTTTAACCTTGTATTGTTCTATGAGTGGATAAACACACAGGAAACCCTGTCCCAGGCTCTGTTTGTAAACCAGCTGTGAACACAGCCCAGGGATCACGGAGGTGGTGGCATTTAGGGAAGTCTCTGCAGTTCTCAGTGATGATAAAGCAAATGCAGCAATCAGGGCTCTGCTAAAAGCACTGCTTTGAAGTTCTTGGACTGCTCTTTGCTGTGTTCAAGCATTTGAAATTTACTCACATCCCATGAGCTGCAAAGATGCCACTCCTTCTGTCTGAGTTAAATATACACACTGGTATAATTACAAATGTCAGCTTTTGGATTAATGAATCAAGTTCTTCCAACTGTGCTCCATCACTAAGAGAGAGCACTGGGGAGGCAGTGAACAAACAGCTAAATTAGACCTCAATATTCTCATTTTTTCATCCCATCATTTCCCATTTGCAGAATCTGCTGCCCCTTGATCTTAAAATGCATTACCAAGGTTTTCTGGTAATGGGGCTGAAATTCAGAGTTCATCTCCTCTTAGCTTGCCTGGATATCCAGAGGTTTCTTTTTGGCAGCAGAAACAAAACTGCAAATTTCAAAAGAATTTCTCTGAAAGGAAGAACTGTCTGAAAAAGAAATCCCCCAGAGTACTCACGCCAGAGCCATAATCCCATAGGGCCAGGAACGGATTTCCAACCTCTTGGGGCTTTTTATCTCATCTGAGGTCAGCACCATCCCACTGTCAGACTCCTGAGGAGCAAAAGGAAAGAACATCAGGGATATCTGGAACCTGGGACTGCAGGATATTCTTTTCTCAAGGCCTGTGTTATCAATTTTTATCCAAGTCTTCCTGATAATGCTGCTCTGGAGCCTGGGAACGTTTCCCTTCTTTTTATGACATTAAAGTTTTTGATCTGCATTTCCAAAGAGCACCCTTAAAATGAACATATCAAAAAATAATTTGACATTTTCAAATTGGAAACTGATATTAAGCATGACATATGGGCACTGTGTACGTAGGATAGCTGAGATATGAATAGACTGAGATTCATAAAGAATATATCCAATAATTCTGGCTGGGCTCCTCCAAAGAAAAGCTCCTTAAATACCCACTGGAAATCCACAATTAGAAACACTGGGGTTTGAAGGAAGTGGAAGTTCAGCAGCATTTTGTAAATGCAAGTTCTTTGTAAAGATAAATGCCCCTGGCCTTTAAAACTAATTTTTTTATGAGTTTTCCAACAAAACTATCTTGATTAGAGTTGGGATTGTGATTCTGCTGCACTTAAAGCTGAATCTCGAGGCTGCAGTTAAACTTTGTTCTAAGTTTATGCAAATACACAGACATCACAGTCTTCATTTTAAGTAATTTAATAATATTAAATGATCTGGGTGTTTCTTTGCATTTGAAGTATTTTGTGATGCTGGAAAGCTGCTCATCTGTGCATTTGTCAGAACCAAGACAGCAAAAGCCCTCAACATAGAAGAGAAACTCTTATTTTATCAGTCAAACTGATCAAGGTGTAAAAAATAATCTCATCAGACAATAAAAAACAAGAAAAAGCCTTTTTATACATGCTCTGGTCATCTATCAGTTTTAATAAGGCCAGGTGAAAAATGAGTTTCTAAAGTGAAATCCTGAATTAATGAGGTCTGTCAAAGCCTCAGCTTGTCCCTGGATTTTATCTTGACTGTTTCCCCTTCAAACACGAGGAATAGGAATGTTTTATTTGGGGGCTGCTCTGCATTTTGCTTCCACCTCTCTGGGAAAAGAATCTCCCCTGACTGCAGATAATTGCACAATGGCAGGAAGGTGTGGTGGAGCACTCAGAGCTCTTTGAAATAATGACCTAATGACAATTCAGGCTTGATAATTAAGAAAACTTCGATAACCAAAGTACACTTCCATTGTCCAACAGCAGGTCACACACTGATTTTGATTTAAAAGACCCTTATTGAAACATTTATTAATGTTTCCATTTAATATCAATTTATTTCAATTTAATTTATTTCAATTTTATTAATATCGTATATAACATAGAATATATAAAATAAAGTTATATTATATAATATTAAATAATATGTTATTAAATAACATAATATTATATAATATTAAATAATATTATATTATATGATATTATATTATATTAAATTATATGATATTGAATATTACATTATATGATATGATATGATATGATATTATATTATATTATATTATATTAAAAATAATATATAATATATAATTATATAAAACCACAAATATGTAAATATATATAAATATGTATTATATATAATTATAATTATTATATAATTTTATCTATTTATTATTAACATTTATTTCTAATCTCTTGATGTATTCTCAGCCTTTTTTTGGGTATATTATAAAATATACAAATATATAAAAATATAAAATATATAAAAATATATTTTGTTATATATTTATTATATATTATATAATAAATACATAAAAATAAATTTATATATTTATATATAATTATTATATAATTATATCTATTTATTATTAACATTTATGTCTAATCTTTTGATGTATTAACACCCTTTTTGTATATTATAAAATATATATTTATATTTATTATGTAAAATATATATAAATATATAGTTATTATACAATTATATCTATTATTAACTTTTTTAATATTTATTATATATATTTATATATATATTTATTATTAACATTTATTATCACCCTTTCTGGAAACTTTTCCCCCCTCATGTAAAAGTTTATTTGAAAATGCCACGAGCTCTTAGGCAGGTAATGCTGGTGCTGGCAGCAATAATCTCTTGAGACAGCATTGATCCAAAAATGCCTTTGTGTGGTTCACAGGGACAGATTTTATCCTGCAAGGGGAAGATGCAGGAACCAGGGAAATTTCTAAGCTGCCTAATCCTGAGATGTGCTGATAAAGAGAAAGAAATTCCATCTGGGAAAATACAAGGCAATAATGGGCCTCAGTCTGTGCTCAGCAGAGAAGAGATGAGAAACAGGCTGTGCTTGGCAAGGACAGGGAATATTCCCAGGAAAAGCTGGAGCTGGAGCTGGAGCCTTCCCAAGGGAGCTGCTCTGAGCAATGGCTCTGCCCAAGAGGGACTCTCAGCTGGAGCCTTTCCTTGGCTCACCTGAGACTTCTCCTCCTGGGGCAGGAGGATTCCTCAGGGATTCCGGCTTCAATTCAAGCTTTGATCCACCTGGAGCACTTGGGCACTGCAGAGGTCCCTCCTTAGGGACACAGAAGGTGCCACTGAGGCAGCAGGTGGGGACAGCACGTGGAGCTGCAGCCAGGGCTGCCTGGACCACACAGGGAATTCAGGAGATGTTCTTGGGGATTTTTTAAAATAAGAAAATACAACCCATGCCTTCAGAGGAAGCCAATAAGCAGAACCCTCATTCTGTAACAAAACAAGCCTTTGTTTTCCCCTGGAGGGAAAATTAAATGCTTAAACTCTCTCACCCTGCAATGGCATTAAACTGGTAATAAATAGATTCACCTGCAGAGAGGAAAATCCAGGGAATCAAGACCAGGATCTTGAATCTTGTTCTTGTCTGCCCTGAACTGAACACCTTCACCCTCACCAAGTGATTTGCTGTCTTGGCCAGCCAGAATGTCCAGAATTCTGGACACATTTCCCTCAAAGAGCTTCATTTGAACAAGCTGCCACTTTCTTATGGTGGATAAACATCTTGAAATATGTAATATAAAGCCCCTTAGCCTGATCAAAGCCAGGGCAATCACATGTGAGCGTCTCTTTAAATTATTTAAAAGAAATGCAGATCTCTCTTTGTTGTCACACAGCCAGGGGTGTGAGATGCCAGAGCCAAATCTTCAGCCTGATTTAAAGTTCTCCCCTACCAAACAGATTCCAAAAGCTCTAATGAGTGTTTCTGGTGCTGGTGACGAGTGATCTGTGAACCTGCTGGGGAAGGATGCAGTCACCTCTCTTACCTCATGCATCACTTTCTCCTTTTCCACTGGCACCTCATCAAATGTCTTCACACTCAGGGGTCTCTTCTTGCTGCTGTTACTGAAAGCAGGAAAATTGAGGGGTCAGCATAAACCACAGGCAGGTGCTGCACCAGTTACATCCTCACACATCCCCCTGTCCTGGAGCACTTCTCTTTTGTCACCTCTTGTGTCTAATAACCAACACCCTAACAAATCTGCCTGATTCTTCCACCAGCCATGAGAAGGGAGGACACCAGACAGTGAAATGTTTCTTTCCTCCCCACCCTGTATCTGCTTTTCTCACCCAGTTTCCACTGCACTCCAGCGATTCACTCCGCTGCTCAAGTTTTCTTCCACAGGGCAGGTTTTGGAATTGGATTCTCCATCTGGACACAAGGTGATGTTCAGTGGAATGTAGTCTTTGCCATCCTATGAAATTAATAACAGAAAAAAAGCACAAAGCTGGTAAAGTTAATTTTGTGCTGCATCTCAGATGTGACAGGTTATTGTATCCTGCAGAGCTTTGTGATGAGAGAGGATTAAATTGTGATTTAACATAACTGTGATGTTTGTTCAAGGTGATTCTCCTGTTCCTCACACCCTGGGGGAGTTGTGGAAGTTAGAATGCACACTTCATCCAAGAACTACAGGAGTACAAAGTGCAGGAGGCTTTGTGAGGAAACCGAGGCACTTTGGGAACCCCGTGGTGTGGGATGGGCTGGGATATTCCAGTCCTGGTCAGAAGCAATGGCCCATGGACAGACTGCTTCCTTCTGCTCTACTTCAGGAGCTTGGGAAGGCCTTAAAGTGGGAGCCTGGAAGGATTTAATTTCTTGTCCTTCCCAGGAATTGCTACTGCACTTGGTAATGAGCTCTGCATTGTCATTACCCCCCTGCAGCAATCCTCAGGAATGACTCTGCCTTTAGCTCCTGAAACTATTTGTCCAAATTCCTCTCTGCTTCTCTTTGTTTTTAATTTTGAGTTAAGTGCCCAATTCCCTTATCATGATTTTTATGTCTCCTTAATTTACTTTGGTTATAGAATTAAGCTCACAAGCTCTTCATATTGCAGACTGGGCCCTCTTCAACTCAGCTCCACTAAATTTGTTTACAAACAGGAAGGAGCTGGAGGAAAGTGTTTGATTTCTTTTTCAATTAAATTGACAGTTGCATAACAGATCTGATTGTTTTTATTGAAGAAAAAAACAACTGGTTTAGCTATTATGAAATTAATCATGATTTACCTGCCTCTCTGTGCTTTAAGCTGCATAATTGTAAAGCTCCCAGAAGCACTGGTGAACATAAACTTAGAAATGAGAGACAAAATTCAGGAGGTGGAGAAAATCAGAAGCAAAGTTAACATTTGAGTAGTTAACATTGCCTTTACTCATTGCAGCAGGCATTTTCCTAGTGAGCTGTGCTAGGAAGTGAAATGTCATTTTGGTGTTTAATATCCTTCACCTCTGCACAGGCACACACTCCAAATGCACTTTGTTGGAGTCTGAGACACAGAGTGTGAGCCCTTGGCTCTGATCTCTGCCTCTGACATCCAGGAGAACACTGAATTTCACACATGAAATTTATGGGTGTGTTTTCATGGTGTTACATGAACACAACTGCTAAAGTCAGATAGAAAAGCTGAAAATGTGAATGTGTAGATTAGAGAGCTTTCTTAAATCATTGGGTGGAAAAGTTAGAGTTTAAACTAATTTAGAAAACAGAAGGCAAGATGGAGGATTTAGGGTCCTGTCTCTTTTCTTTATTCTTTCTTCTTCATGCTCTTCCAGAGGTATTTGGGTAGCAGGAGGTGATTGATAGGTGATAGAAAGGTAGGTGATAGATGATAGAAAGACAGGAGGTGATAGAAAATGTCACAGTGCAGCACACAGGTGATGGGTCATTGGGTCATTAATAAAAATAATTAACGTGTCTATTGTTAATTAGATAAGAATGAGTATAAAGATAAAAGAACTGAGTAGTTCAGGGCCATTTTGTGCCATCAGAGCCAAAGTGAGCCAGGTTGTAGTGATTTGAACTTGTGCAGAAAATCTGGAGAGACCTGCCAAGACTTTGATAACATCCTAATAAACACAAGAAACAAGATCCTAACGAGGTTTAGAGTTTTCTCCCTGACCCAGAGGACTGAGATAAATGGAACTCCCTGTGAAGGAATATTCCAAAAGAGCTTGGCTCAGAGGAGACTGAGAAATCCAGGAGTGAAGAGAAGTGCAGGAATCAAACCAGAAAATCAGGTTTGACACTTTTCTTGTGAGGGGCTGGCCCTGCTGTACCTGCTGCACGTTGGCCTGAAGGAGATCCCCCAGGCGCTCCACGAGCTCGGTGAATGTTGGTCTCTCCGTGGGGACCCCGTGCCAGCAATCCAGCATTGTCTGGTAGCTGGAGAGAAAAAACAACAGGGATTAGGAATGGGAAAGGATGGGAGCTTTTCTTTCAAACTGTTTCATTCCACTGCTGCTTGGTTTGGTCAGTCTTTGGATTAAGAGAGGTTCAGATCTCCATGTGCTGAAATTCTGTTTTAGTTTCCATGTTGGATGCTTTTCACTTCCATATTCCTGCCTCAGCTGAGCCTGCAGGATTTTGGGTTTTACCTAACTTAAAGTCTGGCTGCTGGGCCCTGCTGACACTGCTGAAATAAGTCCTGGTTTTGGGTGCTGGGTTTCTGTCACAGCATCTGAAGTCTGAACTACAGCTGACATGGGGTATCTGAGCATCTTCTTGCTGGCAAAGGTCAGGCTGACTTGGGCTGTCCTTGGCATTGGTGCTGTCAGACACCCAAAATATACTCAATCACAGCTTTACTGAAAATAAAATAGCCAGCTGTGTCACCCTGAAAATGAAACCTTCTGATCTTCTTTTCATAGTTTCTAGCCACTTTCCCAGGAAAGTAACTATAAACATAAATGTGCATGCATTCTTTGCAAGAAACATCTTTTGATGGACATTTTACATGACCAGTGTGATTGTGAAGGTGGTAACCTAACTATCCAGCCCCTGGTCATTGTTGAGAATCTATAAATCCTGGAGTCACAAAATAAAATCATCTTTTCCCTCTCATACATTGAACTGTGTCTGTGTGAATCATTCTGTGACACAGCTGTGGTCTCCCCCTGTCCCCACTTAAACCCAATCTCTCCTGTGAGATGTAGCAGCCCCCAGCAGCAGCCAGCAGCTCTTACACTTCAGGAGTGGAATATTCTGGAGATCTCATCCGGGTCCCTTCCTTGAGCCGCCGGCAGAAATCCTCGTCTATCTGCACTCCAGGGTATGGGGAGGCACCTGGGGGAGAAACGAGAGGGATCCAGGATGGCACAGTCCCTGTGTCCCAGCCCAGGGAATCCTGATCTCTGCTGGGCATTCCAGGTTACCCTGGAAGGCTCTGGCAGTAAAGGAGCTCGAGTGAAGGAGCTGCAGTCACTCACAATCTGTGTTTTTTATTTGGAAACCTCTTACAAACTCACTCTGCCTCTTCAGAGGTTTCAATCACGCTGTCTCCTCTGCATTTGTGATAGAGTCAGGACCACTCCAAGGTAAAACAAGGCAGAGGAGAAATGAACTTTATTCATTTAAGACTTTAAAGAATCTCTTGGTCAGTGGTAGAAAAGTTCCAGCTCATTCAGTGCTTTCCAAACAATATCCTGCACTGAGTGGATACACAGGGAGTGAGTAATTCCTGCTCATCCTTCATAGCCTTTAGAACCCCTGTGAGTAAGAGCAGAGGGGGCTGTGGGCACCTGGATCCTGCCAAGGACCACGAGAACCTTGGTTCAATCCCGTGTGTGGAATTGCTCCTCTCCTGGTTCACCAACTACTGGACTTGCATTTTCACTTGCCTATCCTCCTTGCAGTGACCTTCCAGCTTTTCAGCCTTGTTTTCTTTCCTGGCCACCTGTTCCTTGCTGTTTTCCTCCAGTGCCACTCAGGTGTTGGCTGAACCCTGGCAGGGCAGCCCGTGGCAACTGGAATTGCTTTGCAGAGGTTGGATGCTGTGAAGGGCTGGGAGCTTTGTGTTAACTCCCACAGAACTTTGGGGAAAATTCAGGAGAAATCTGAAGTTTGAAATGTTACTGAATCTACCGTGGATAACACTAAAAGATTTGTAACTTCCCTCCCTCCCTCAGCAAAGGCTTCCAATCCAGCACAACCCTTCTGACATCCCAGAGGCTGGATGATGAATTTGGAAACAATTTAATCAAGTCTTAACGTAGGAGATTGAATGGAATCTGTATCCAGCCCTCGAGGAATCTGTGTATGATTTACTGTCTATAACATTCCTGCATATTTCCTGCAATTTTTCCCCCCATTTGGAAACACCATCATGTGCTGTGCACTTGGGGGCACAACGAGAGCAGCAGAAATCTTTTGGACAAAGCATTGAAGAAGGGGCCAAAACGTGGCTGCTTCCAGGATTGTTCTGCTCTGTGGACCTGACAGCTCAGTGGGCACTGGGGAGCCAAGATCCCAGCACTGCCTGGGAAGGAATCTCAGCACAAATGGGCTCCCAGGACATCCAGAGCCCAGGGATGCTTCCCCACTTCTGAATTCCCTGGATGTGCAAGCACCAGAGCACAGGACTGATCATTTCTGCTTTGTACCCAGATTTTCCTTCCCAGCCCTGCCTGTGGCCTGTCATTATGCTCAGAATAGTGAGCTGCTCATCTCACAGATGGAGAATTCCTCTTTCTCTCACAATCCCAGTTCTCTCTCTGTTCACACCACAGATCAGATCAGCTGCAAGATGCTGGTGAGAGCAAATACAGGGAAGGCAAAGGGTAAGAGTGATAGGACAAGGAGTAATGGGACAACCTCAAAGAAGGGACACTTAGGTCAAATATTAGGATGAAATATTTTACTGGGGGTGGTGAGGCCCTGGCACAGGTTTCCCAGAAAAGCTGTGGATGCCCCAACCCTGGCAGTGCTCAGAACCAGGCTGGAAGCAGGAGTCTAGGATTCATTTTTGACTTCAGGATCTTTTGGTAGTTTACATTTTGGCCAGTGCTGGCCTCCTACCAGCTGGAGGCAGCTCAGATCATAAAAACAAGGAGCTCTCCCTTTCCCACTCTCACTGAGCACTGTCTTTATCTGGACTATGGGATAAGTCTGATAACTTGGATTTGGAATGCTGAGACAGCTTGGGAGAAATGTAGGCTGGAACATATGGTGTAAGGCCTACACAGGATGTTTTCCTTAGGGGAAATCTCCTTCAAAATGCTCAAAGATGTGGCATGCATTGGATATGGAGCCCTCTTTTGATCTTGGTTTTATTTTAGTGGGATAATGAGATGCTGATGTTACTACCAGGCACTGCTTGTTTACATAATTATCTCTGATTGCTTTTGGAACAGCTCACATTGAAATTCCAGGAGACACCGACATTCTGCCAGTGATTTCAGGATGTGTTAAACACTGCTGGCACCACCTGACACGAGGTGTGCTGACCCCATTTGAATAATTTAAAGCTCATTGCAAACTCAGCCCCAGATGGAAATGAATATTCCCTCAAGTCCTGATTTCCCTGTGCATCACCAATGCAGATCCAGGCTGCCAGTCCTGCAGGCAGCCTCTTGTCCTTCACTCAGCTTCTGACCCTGCCAGGACACAATCTACACTCTGCAGTTTCCTAATCAGTATTTTTCCCTTTTTTTCGAGGGTGCTCTGTCTGTGGGACCCAGTGAGAGCAGCAGCTGTAAATGGGAGCCAAAACACACCCTGTGGCAACGATAAATAACTTCCATCCCGTGGCTCTCAACGATCTGTAAAACTTTTCTATGACAGAATTCAATCAGTGACACAAATCCTTAATTAAATATTTATCGTTTGAGCTGCAGATGTGAGCCGTGCCAAACCACAGGCATGCCTGGATGAGCTGGATGAAAAACCCTCTCAGAGAAAATGACTGGTTTTGAGCCTGTGCCACCAAGTGAAAAAGCACTTTTTGATCTACATCACACACCAGGGCAGAGGCTGCTGCACGGGTGGCAGCCCCTGCAGCCTTTTGGGAGATTTACAAATTTAGAAGGGGCTAAAAGAACCCAGCTAAAATGTTTTTGTTTTTTTTTTTAAATAGATTAAAATAGAGGTGGATTTCACTGAGTGGGTTTTAATTCGTAGTAGTGTTCAGAGTTAAAGGCCATCTGTTAAATTCTGTCAGGACCTTTGGGAGTGACACAAAGTTTGTTCCTGCAGTGCCCCTTGGATTCATCAGCACTCCATTCCTCTGGTTCCCAGGGGAGACCCTGTTACCTGAGTGTGTCTCTAGCTGCTGATGCTAAAGCATCTTCCTGAATAATCTGATAAAACCTGGTGCTACTGGAGCTTTGCCTTTCTGTGCTGTTTCTGAAGCTGCAGCAGGTGATGCTGTTACAGAGCCATGGAGGGCTCACCCCAAAATAACAACGCCAGGGCTGGACCCCAGCGAAAGCAGGAGCTGCCACTTGTTTCAACCACTCAAGTGTGAACTTTCTGCTTGGTGTGCAGATGTGGAGCAGGGAAAAGTCCACATCAAAGACTTGGACTGAGAGCAGGTTATGATTTTGTAGCCAGCCCTAAGTAAAGATTAGGATAGAAACAGCTCCAGACTTTGCATTTTCACTTGGCATCTTGAGCCCAATCATTAATTTCAACTGATCCATGAGCTAAAGATAGAAAGAGATTAGAGTTTGCTTTAAAATCCAGCAGCTTAAGTTAACAATGCTTCTTGTTTTCTTTTGTCTGTAAATGCTGATTAAAAAGCCAGAGCTGACATTCCTAAATTCCCTCAGGAAAACGAATCTTGCCCCTCTGCAAGGAGGATCTGAGAGCAGCACAGTGAAGGTTGTCCAGGTCTCACAGCTTTATCTGCTGCACAGAAAGCAGAGCTCAGCGAGGCTGAGGTTTCTAACAGCACCCTGGAATGAAATCTTGAACACATAAAGAACATCATTTTTATCCTTTTAGAAATGTTGTGGTTTGCAAATGATGCAGAGACAAGAGCCCATGGTCTGCCCTTGCTCTGCTGCCAAAAGGGCTCAGGTTGAGCTCAGCAGTGGTCCTTGCACCAACCCAACAGCAGCTGCTGCCAGGAGATTTTTCTTAGCTAGAAAATCTTTGATTTTGTGGGGTGGATGGTCAAGCTAGGATGAATCTGTGTGGGCTGGTGTCCCATGGTGCCAGCAGCACCCCTGTGCCCACAGCAGGGTGACTCTGCAGCCCTGGAGCTCTGGGGCTGCCTGCACCAGATTTTTGATCCCCCTCCCCAGTGTTTACATGTCCTTTGTCAGGTGGAGTTCTCCTTGAAATTTGCTTTATTTTACACCTGATTCTGCACTGTGCACTTCTCCTCAGTGAAACACAAACACTGCCCTGCATGACCACCTCTTGTTAAAAGCTTTTCTTAGCTAAGCAGCCATAAATTAGAGGGGAAAAAAAGGGTTTGAAACCATTCTTACCTAGAGAAAATATTTCCCACAGCAGCACTCCGAAAGACCACACGTCACTCTGCGTGGTGTAAATTTTGTCAAAAATAGCTTCTGGAGCCATCCACTTGAGTGGAAGCCGTGCCTGAAAGCCAGAGACACAACAGGTTGCCAGATGTGCTGTCACTGATCTGCCCAAGCCCAACTTGAGGGTGCCAACTGAAGCTCCTTGCACTCACATCTCCCTTCCGTACGTAGTCGGGGTCTTTATAAATATCCCTGGCAAGGCCGAAGTCACAGATCTTGACCACGTTGTTCTCGGACAGGAGGATGTTCCTGGCTGCCAAATCCCGATGGATGCACTGCCAGGGAATGACAGGGGGTCAGAGGGGGCTGGGCAAGGAGCCCCTGCTGGAGCTGGAAGCAGGAGAGCTTCTTTGGGAGGGGGGAAAGAAATGAAGTGTGAAAGATATACACTGTGATATGCAAAAGAGAGAATAACTCAGGGAACAAGCCAGAGTCAGGCTTCTGATTTTTCTGTCTGAAATAACTTCACAGTTACAAGGGAGGGAGTCCTATTTTCTAATCAGCTGATCCATGGGAAATTATGGAGAGGCCAAAAAGCAGCTGCAGCTCCATTTGCCAGTGCAGGTCCATGTGAGATGGGATCACCCTGCCCAGGATTTCTGGGGCTGTCCTGGTGGCTGTGTGTGAGTGCAGGTTCAGTTGTCTGCACACTTTGGGCTGCGGATTGCCCTGCACCTTCCTGAAAAGGCATCCCACAGGCTACAAACTGCTTCTCATTTATCCAAGAGGTGCTGACCTTGCTGACAGTCCCCAACACTTCTGACAAACTAAGGGAAGAACTGGATACTCCCTCCTCATTTTTCAGTAGTGTTGTTGTTCACCACACTAAAAGGAGCTTTCTCTACAGGCCCTTTCTGTGTTTATTTCTGAGGCAGTTCCAGAAATTGTCTCACAATCTGTATTCACTCCTTCTACCTAAACCCTCCTGCTGCAGATGCCAGTCCCTGCAGCCATGACCATGATGAATGTTCCTCCACAACCCCTTCAGTGCTAATTACTGCTTAACCACCAGAGCCAACGTGATCTCCAGCACTCTGATAGGAGAGCAAAAAGCAGATTCCTCAGACTCAAAAGTGTGTTTGGGTTTCTTCATATCAGACACTCTGCAAGAAGTCTGAGTGAGCTCACTTTTCGGGAGGCGAGGAACTCCATGCCTTTTGCCACCTGGAAGCTGTAGCAAATCAGATCCTCCAGAGTCAGGGGCCTCTTGTACAGATCCTCAGCATCTAGGAGAGATCAGAGATGTGGCAAAACCCTGCAGCAAGAGCTGGGTGGCACCTGAGTGCTGGGGGTGAGATCTGTGCAGGGCTGCAGCTCTGGGTGAGCAGCCACTGACCCAGAGGCAGAAGATCAGATGAGGAACAAAGTTCCCTCATCCATTAGTCACTCATTCAGCTATGGGGAAACAACACCTCAGGCTGGAAGTGAGGGAAACTTTATAGACAAGAGCCCAGGGACAGAGTGACCTCACAAGTCTGGTAAAGCATTCCTACTCCTCCTCTCACACAGCAGGAACAGCTTTTGTACACAATACAAAGCTCTCTCTTTGGGAGAAACTTGGAGTGGGGAACAGGCAAGGGGAAGAATTTGGGATTTCAGGGACAAGCCAAGCCATGTAAGGGCTTGTAAAGCGTGTGACAGCATGTGTGGCACTAACCAAGTGACAAGAAATCTTCCCAACAAAAGCTTGGGGATGAGGTGGGGTTCTTTTACCTTCTTCATCCTCTTCTGAGTCACTGTAACTCTTATCTTCAATAAATCCTGAGCTGGCAGAGCTGCCTGTGCTGGCCACGCTCTCGAGGCGCCTCTTGATCAGTTCAGTCAAATCACTGTTGGACTCATCCAGACTTTTCTCTGCTTGGTCAGAGCTTTCCTGGGACTGGAAATGGCATAAACCCAATTTTTAGCTTTGTGTGAAAAGCTTGGGGACTCAAAGTATGTGACAGAATGGCATAAGGAGAAAGGGTCCTCTGAAGATGAGCATTTGAACATGATGTTTCCTGAATTGGGAACAAATAGGAAACCAGGTTTTATTAGTTCTAATTACAAACCAATAAAGCCTGGTTTCCTATTTATTCCTACTGATTATTTCCCTTCCACTGAGAGCAATATTCCACATCAGAGTTAGCTGAAAGCTGGCTGGGTGAGACTGAGAGGAGAGCAGAGAGAAGCTGTAATTCTCTTGCTGTCTTAGGATGGTAAAAATCCCCTCAAGGTGATGGGCACTGACGTGTTTGTGCTGGGGAGTGAGGCACAACCAGCCCTCAAACCATGGCAACAATGGTGAGAAAGAAATCCTGGGTGACTGCACCAGGAAAATCTCTTTCACTCACACAAAGTCCCTTGCGTACACAATAGCAGTAATAATAATAATAATAATAATAATAATAATAATAATAATAATAATAATAATAGTACTGGAATAATCTGGGAAAATCATCTTGGTGAGGCTGCAGTTTCTGGCAGGGCTGGGATCACAGAGCCTGTTCCACACTGGATATTCACGAGGAGGAGTCAGTCCCATCCCTCCCCAGCTCTGATTTCTGCTCCTGTGTCCTGCTCCCATCCCAGCCCAGTCTGTGCTGGAACAGATGTTTGTGTGGATGCAGAGAACTGTTAGGGAACCAAACATTTGATTGGTTTTGATGCAGAATATCCATCATCCAGACACAGATCTCAGGGCTGGCACAGGGGAAGGGACGGAAGATGGGAAAGAGCAGATGGGGGAAGGATGAGCTCTTTTCACTTGGGGCCAAGAAACAAAAAAATCCCCAAGCCAGATTTGTTTTTGGGAGGGTTCACCTTCTCCTAGTTCAGTTAATTCCAGTTGTTCACTAATATTTTTTGCCCCCCTTGTGCTGGGAAGTATCTCACAAGTAATTCCCTCTCCTTCAAGTGCTCTGGAGTGTTTGGGGACTTGCAACTAATTCTTTAGGAGATGCTACAAGAGGACATCACTGAGATCCTGCAGGGGAAAAAAAACCAAAACAATCCCTCTTCTTGCTTGTACAAATTGAAATGTGGAGAGAAAATGAAGTGCCCATAGAAATACCCAACTGCCTCTGTGCCAATGCAGAGCAAATCCAGCTTTTGTCAGTGGTTGTTGATTCCCTGCCTCGTGACTGTGAGAAGTCTCATTTTCTTACCTTGTATGCAATGAAATCTCCTCGTTTCCCTCTGAGATAGTTGGACAGATTTCCATATTTGCAATATTCCACTATGACCATTAAAGGACCTAAAACAGACAGTGAAAGTCAAATGAGTTTTGAGGCACTGCAAAGCACATAATTCTAATTTATCCTACCAGATCCTCCTCAAAATAAGTGGCATTTCTATTGTACAGATGAGGAAATGAGGAAACACAGGAGTAACACAGCCAGCAGGGATGTGGAGAGAAGGAAACACATTCTTAGTTTTCCCCATTGGATGGTGACAGTTGGTATTTATTCCTAAATTATAAACAAGAAAAATTCAGGATGATCAACACAATCCCAGATGCTGTTAAGGTTGGTTTGCTGTGTACATGGAATAGTTTTCATTTTCTCTGCTGGCTTCACAATTGTTTGTTTTGGGTGGAGCTGATGCCACTAGAGGAAATCAAAGTATGCAGGGCCATAGACAGATCTAAATGAAAAGCTGCAAAAATACTCAGCCTGAAGTTTCTGAAAGCCTGGAAAGTGCTCTCACTTTCTTCCTTATTCCTCTGCAAACCACGGTAGATTCAGTGCTGCTTTCACACAATGATGCAGGTTTTTAAGAGCTGCTTGAAATGCTTTTTAATTGCAGTGTGAGATGTCTGGGAAGGGATAAGCTGCATTCTGCACCTTTACTTTTTGTAATCATCAAAAGTAAGGTAAGGTGAATTCATGGGACTGGGATGTGGATAAACATGGAATATTATCTACCCCAGACACCAAGACTTTCATGTCCAGAACATTTTTCTCTGGAGAAGGTCCATGAGGAGTTTGCAGTTCAAAGGGGAAGCGCTGAGCGCTGCACTTGGCCTTGGGGAAGGAGCTCAGCAGGATTCCTGCTGGAATTCCTGCATCCTCAGAGGGAACAGTGACCCTGGGACAGTGTGGGGCAGGGAGAGGAGCAGCCTTTGGGTCCCACAGAAAGGGAGATGCTGAATTCCTACAGGCAGAACCCAGCCCGTGGTGCTCCCTGTGGATCCCTGCAGGCTCTGCACTCACCCCAGCCCTCCAGCCCTGCCTTGAGTGCACACCTTGGGGCTCTCCAGGACCCCCAGTGCCTCTGCCTGAGGCTGGAACAAGCCTTAAAACCTTATAGTGGCTGCAAAAACACCAACCCCAAATCCCCAAAGCTCAATGGTTCCAGTGCTGACCCCAGAGCTCTGCTCAGCACTGGGATCTGGCCCTGCTCAAGAGATTTGGCTCTGAAGAACCCAAAATCCAATGTCCCTCATGGATGCCCTGAGGAAATGCAGATTCCAGAGCAGCTTTAAAGCTCTGCTTAGTGATTTATTCATGGTTTTGAAAACGCTTCCTAGACATGGCCTCCTCTTATTTTGTTCCCTCATTGTAAAGCACACACCGCATTAGTTCTGACTGCTGAACATCAGACACTCCGCCAAAGTGTTAAATTCTGTTATTTGCTACCTTGTTAAAGTAATGTATGTGCATACTTAATACCAGTCTCCATCAGGAATACAACTTACATAAAGCCTAGCAGGGGAGGGGAGAGCTCTGGAATTTCACAGGAGCTGGGATCCCTGTCTGCCTCTGGAGCTCAAGGCTGTGTTCCTTTAGTCTGCACTTGCACTGCCCCAGGCTCCTCCGTGCCCTGTGGGGTCCTGCTGCACCCCTCTGCTCCAGACTCTGCCCCCAAAGGTGTCCCCAGGCAGGGAGGAGGGAGGGTCACCCCACCCAGGATGGGCCAGGATGGACAATGGGAAATCAAAGAACTCCTGGGAGAAAAAGGTTTCTCAGAAACTGGGAACTGAGAGCCTTTGATCAATCCTGAGGTGTCTGTGCAAGCAGAGCTCTGGGGCTGCTCTGGTTAAGAACCACTGAGCCCTGTTTCTGCTGCCAGGTTTGAATCCCCTGTTTGTCCTGAGCCCCCTCAGGGACTTGTCAGCAAAGCACAGCATTCCCAGTGTCACCACCACTCCCAGTGTCACCACCACTCCCAGTGTCACCAGCATTCCCAGTCACCAGCAATCCTAGTATCACCAGCATTCCCAGTATCACCAGCATTCCCAGTGTCACCAGCACTCCCAGTGTCCCAGCCCCTCTGCTCAGTCCCAAGCAAAGTCTCCTGGCTGCTGCACCTGAGCCCCAAACCCCTCCAGCTGGAGCTGCCCTTGCTCCCACACAAGCTTTTGGGGTCTGGAGTGCTGCAGTTGTTGGGATGTCCCCATCCACGTCTCCCAGATCCCAGCAGTGTCCATGGCTGCTGTTTCCCGAGGAACCAGAACCACCTTGCTGGAGGAAAGATTCCTTCCCTGGCTTCCTCCCAAACCTACCTCACTGAAGTTTTCCTTTTCCCTCGTGACTGGATAACAACTGTTGGGAACTGATGGTTTTGGGCTGTGAGATGATGAGAGATCCATCTCTCTTGAGTTTCCCCCTTCACTTCTTTCACTCTGGGGTTTCCCTTGCCCTCAGGTCACCTAAACCTGTCTGTTGGGGGTGGTTTTGAAGATTTTGAAGGCCAGCAGTGAGGAGCCATCCTCCAGAGCTGCTCCCCAGAGGCTGAAGCACGGTGAGAGGTCCGGATGCTTTGCAGTGTGGGAAGGGATGGTTTAGTGACAAAGGTCTGAAATTGATGGGACTTTGCATGATGCCAACTCAGCTCTGTGGAAATCCCTGCTCTGCTGCACCCAGGGCTGTGCCAGGCTTCCTGAACACAGGGCAGAGCCTGCTGGGTTTGCCAGGAGAGGGTGAAGTGCAGGGAAGGAGAGGGAGAAGAAGGGTGGAAATGGCCACGGGGAGGAATTGGGCACCTCACTGCAATCCAGTGTTCTCCTCCCTGCAGTGCAGAGTCCCTTTTGGGAACAGGCCTCCAGAGAAAGGTGACATCCCTGGTGGGAGAGCCCTGGGTGGGATGAGGCTACATCCTGCAGGAGCAGCTCTCCTGTGAGCACAGAGCTGGAAATGGCTGCACTTGCACTGGCTGCACCACAGGCACTTCCAAACACCCAAAAAGTGCCAGAAAAGTGTTTTCTTTTCTGCTTCCCATTTACTGAGGACTCCTCACCTCCAGCTTTGGTGCAGGCTCCCAGCAGGTTGACCACGTTCAGGTGATGTCCTATATGGATGAGGATCTTCAGCTCAGACATTAGAGCCTTGCATTCGTTAGTAGTTGCACATTCTGCTTAAGATAAACAGGAAAAAAATCATCTTTACACAACAGGATATTTTCAACAGGACACAGCAAGATCCTGTTTATCCTTTGAAACAAAACCCACCCAGGTTCCTCGCAGTATCTTGGCTTTTCAGACTCTCACACACAGATAATAATTCATCCGTTTCATTGTCTGCTGACCTTTATGAAGCAGGATAACACTTTATCTTTTGGGTGACTCTTCCTTTCTCGAGTGTGGGTTATGGAGGGTTACGGTCCCTTCCCCCAAACCTGATCCCACAGAGCCTTTGCCAGGACTCAGGTTTGCAAGCTTAGCAAAGGCAGCCTCTGCAAGCCCCCACAGCACACAGCACGTGTCCCTTCCCCTCTGCTGGGCTGGGCACTTCAGCAGGACTGGGTTACAATACCTCAGAACTCCCCACTGCAGGTGCTGAGGAATCCACACATCTGGAAGCTGTCCCAAAATGTCCCAGAGAATGCACAGCATTATGAAATCTCAGGCCTGTGAGATCTTATTGACCTGAGAAATACCTTTTCTAATATCTGTGTGTGAGCCATGAACCTGACAACGGAGGCCCTGGCTGGCCAGTGACATTATTTTAAGGCAGGCACTCTCAGACCAGAAGGTTTTTCAGATGCTGCTTTATCTTCCCAAAACTTCCATGATGTATTTTAACAGGAGAGGCTTTGGCCTGTTTCCTTTCCATCATGTAAGATTTAAGGGTGAAGAAACAGTTATGCAACAAATCATTTGGTGTGACAGGTGTAACCTCTTTATCTGTTTGGAGAATTCCCCATAATCTTTCTCCAAAGTGTGTCATAAAGAAGGAGCTGTTCCAAGATTCCTTCAGTCAGCAGTGGTTGGTGGTATCACTCCTGATTTCCCCTGGCATGTGCTGAGCACGCAGCCAGCTCAGGAATTATTTAGATAATTCTGCACATTGAATTTTAGCCTTCAATCCAGAACAGACCCGAGCGTGCTGCATGGAGATGGCAGAAATGCAGGCATCTCCAGAGCCTTTTGAATTCCCTGGATGGACTGACTGGTGCTAGAGAATCTGCTTTTTTCATGGAAGTGATGAATTATGGGCACGTTAGTTGGGGAGGGCAGACCAGAGCAGGAGGCAGCTGCCTCCACGGGGGGAGGGAGGTGTAAAACGATGGAGAATCTGCCAAATATTGCTGAAGATGTGCTGGCAGGGCAGAGCTGACATGAGGATCAGCTGGGAAGCACAGCATGGAAGGGAATGAAGCCCCAGAGCTGTCCAGGGCAGCATGTTTTGATGGAGGTGGGAATATGTCTGGATCAGGGGTTTCTAGGGTATTTCAGGGATCTGGAAATGGGCATGGAACAGAAGACACAACAGTAGGAGAGAAGATGATCACAAGGATGAAAATAGAGAGGGGAGACCAGACCTGAAGGAGGTCCAGAGAGGTGATAAATGTGTGTTTTTGTGATTTCAGAGAGATGGCAGTAGCAGAGCTCCAGGAGAGGCAGCAGAAGCCAAGCCTGGTGGCAGCAGTCACTGGCTGGTGGCATTGCAGGGGTTAAGGATGTCATGCAGCAGGATGGAGCTGTGAGGGCCATGGCAGCATGGACTGAGCTATGGGATCACCCTCAGGAGCAGTGCCAGGCCCTGTCCCAGCCGGCAGCGTGTGGCTGACGCGTTCATTCCTGGTGTGTGCAAACCCAGCGTGCAAGAGAGGGCTCTGAGTTCCCTCCTTCCTCCACCCAACGGGAAAAGCTTCCCTTCATTTCAACAACTGCAAGCAAGATGTCTCCAATTTACTCCCCTGGCACTGGGGTTTTTTTCCAGCCCCTTGAACTGTTCTCCATCTGGAAGGCTCAGCTCCAATTTTGGGCTATCTCGTGTAATTACGCTCCATAATCTCTTCCCCTCCTCACCTCACAGACCTGGAAGCTGCTGTTTTCTTCCTCGAGGAATACAAGCCTTAATCAGCAGCACAGCTGCTGGCGTTTCCTCCCCTCACATCCAGCCAGGATGGCTGATTCCCACATGGAAACCCACTCCCCACAGGGCACAGCGAGCCTGGCAGCCGAGCACCGTGCCCCTCGCTGCCCCCCGCCTTCCCTCAGCGTCCTCTCAGAGGGATTTCTGTACCTTTCAGCATTTTTACGGCAACTGTTTTGCAGGTTGAAGATTTATCAATGCCAAAAGCAGACGCCTCCACCACCTTCCCAAAAGCACCATGACCCAGAGTTTTACCTAGAGAAGCAAGAGTCGAGAGTGAGCCCAGGCTGCACCAGGCAGGAGGGGACATGCAACCTCAGCTGTGCAGGAGAACCAGGCACAGGGCACGGCCACAGCAGCCTGAACCACATCCTGCAGCATATGGATAGCCAGGGATCTCTATCCATATGGCCTGGATGCAAGAGAGCACGGGAGAGAACAGAGGAGGGGAAATCACTGTGCTCACCAAGGCTGAGACCTACAGGGATTGAGGGGAGAAACTTTACCTGGGGGCTATCCTGGAGTCGAGGGAAGGCTAATTGTGTTAATAAGGGCTAATTGTGCCACCCTGACCTCTCATGGATCACAGAGAGAGCCAGCAAGGCACTCAGGGAGTCACAGCCCTTTAACCCTTTGGTTGTTGACATTGATTTGATGGGAAAACTGAACTAAATAGAATTTAGGATGATAACTTTTCTTTCTTTTCCCTTTCATCTGGATTTTCCTGTCCGTGCTATCTGGTGTTCTCTGAGGGCTCTGATCCAGCCTCTGGCTTTTTGGTTCTGCCAGTTTGACTCTGTCCCACCATCACCTCAGATTTTGTGATTTTTGTCTGCCCTCTCCTCCTTCCACGTTTTCCAGCTGCAGCACCGAGAGCACACACAAACACAGATATTTTCCCTGCACTCATCAGAGCACACAGATGTTACAGTTTTGCTGTACAAACACAGCCAGCTTTTTTGCCTTTTCTCACTCCATCAGCCAGTGAGCTGAGCTGTTCAGTGAAATGTGGCTCATTTTTCCATGAGAGCTTTTTACAGCTCAAAGCTGAGTTCTGATGGCTGATAAGGAAGTGATTATTTGATGAATTGATAGCTTTCTTCAAAAGAAAATTCACTTTCCTTCTTCCTCTATGGGAATGAAATCACACTTTTGGCAGGGACAGTACCTGGAGGTATCTTTCCTCCCTGCCAAGAGTTTGGCTTCCCTTTCCCAAGGAAAAAAAGTGGCAGCTATTTTGACAGATTCTTTCCAAATCCCTCATTTCACCCTGAATTCTGGGATCCCAGATCCAAGGGTGGCAGTACCCTGGCACTGTGCTGGCTTCTTCCTGGGTTATCCAACAGCTCCACTGCCTTTGGGAAGCATTTGGGATCATCCTTCCCCCCAAGCTGTGACCCCAAATCACTCACCCAGGCGCAGCCTGTCCCTGGGGAACTCCCATTTACTGCTGTCGTAGGGCAGGCGGTCACACTGCTCGTCAAGGGGCATCTCCTCGGGGTCCATGATAATTGACAGGTATCCTGTTTTAATATCTGTGGCATCGGGCTAAAAACAGGGCAGGGAGAAATCATTCAGGGGATTTACTCGGCAATTCCAAAGGGAGGGAGCTGCCTGGGGAGTTCCCTGCCTTCCAGGCAAATTTATTCTGAGCCAGGAATGCATCACTGCAGTTTCCTCCTCTGTTCTACAGCTGGGACACAAATGGTTGTGTGTGGCTGCCACTCCTGGCTCTTGGTGCTGGGAAACACAAAATCTACCTGGATTGGCCAAAGGAAACCACTGGTTTTCCATGGGAACTGCAGGATCTGCACTTCCTGCTGCATATTTTGGCATTGTCACCGTGTTTTGTTCTGAGGTGTTGATTCTCCACAGTTCTCCACTTCCTCCTGCAACTTACTGCAATATAAAATTGGTGGGAAGCTGCTGGAAATTGCAATTTGTGATGTTGCTAAAGTGAGAAATTGTGGTTGGGTGGGTTCTGTGAGCAGACTTGCACAGGTGTGAAGTGTAAGAGGAAATTCAATGTTGTCCACAGCTCTGGTAACCTGAGGCCAAGGACGAAAATGTGAATTTAATCTCCGTGTTTACAAGAGGAGGGGAAATTTTACTCAAATGTTGGAGATCAGCAGCAGGACTGAAGTTTGGTGAGAGCAGAGCAGAGAGCTGTGCTTGCCTTTCTGTTTGCTGTTTGTTTCAGGAGAAACCCACCTAAATTCCTGGGACATTCACTGCAGGTTTACTTCTGGAGTCACAAAAGGGAGGAGGAAAAAAAAGCAAGGAGATGAAATCAGCTGTGTGGTTTGAGCTCATTTCTAGAGCAGACAGCCTGGGATCTTTCTTTAATATCTTTTAGAGTCAAGTGCTGAAATCAAGCCCTCATTTTAGAGGATTTAGGGTATTTTTTTGTAATTCTCACAAGCCAGTTTGACTCATAAAAAGGAAGGAGCCTGATCTCATGGGTCCACAGAAGTGGCTGGAAACCTCTCAAGTGCAAGGGTTCTCTGGAGAAGTCAACACAAACCATGGGCTGAATTTTACAAGGACATTTTTCCCAGTTTTTCTACCATCTGTCCCTAAACTCTGGAGCTGAGGTAGATCCCAGCCTTTGTGCAGGACGGGAGCTCTCTCACCTTTCTCAGTTTGCGAATGAAGAGGGTCAGGAGGAGCCAGAAGAGGGTGGCAGCCAGCCCCGTGCACACCAGGATGATCACCTCAATGTTGGATTTCTCCTCAGAACCTGTGGGTGATGTACAGCCAGCTTGGAAATGTGTCCAACATCCCTGAGGGAGCCTGCTAGAATTCTGCATCCCCTCACCTTGGATTTTGATGAAGGCTGATGTGCTGTCCTGGCCCAGGTCGTTGGAGGCGCGGCACTCGTAGAGCCCCTCGTCATCCTTCTTCACTCTCTCAATCACCAGGGTGTTGTTTTCCATGGAAATTCCTGTTTTAAGGCATTTTGGTTAATGTTGGCACAATAACCTACCTGCCAAAAATGCTTTTAGGAGACAGGAGTGAAGGTCAGCTGCCATCCATGCAGGCTCTGGTGTCAGGACACATTTTAATCCTGTGCTCATCCTGCTCTGGCAACCTTTCCTGACTTTTTTTTTTTCCTCTTCAACACCTGGATCAATTATTTGGCATCATTTAAAAACCAGCAAATGTGGCTGTTGATTTAGAGTGGGTAGAAGCTGGAAACTAATCCAGAAGTTAGCAAAGGGATGCAGGACTGGTGCTGACAGCAGAAAGACACGCTAGGAAAAATGGGAACTCAGTGGAGTTACTGAAGGCTGTGGGAAGGGATGTGGCTTCTAACATGGGGAACATGGAACTCAGGCACTTCTTGGAATGGTGTGAAGCAATCCTGGATCCACAGGCAGCCAGGTGACTCTTCCACATTTAATTTTCCAAATTTCATTTTTCCTGATTTGTGGTACCACAGTGACAGTTCATCACTGAGGGGATGACTGGGGTGGAAATAGGGAAGCGGGTCAGGCTTGGAATCCAAAAGGGAAGGACATTTTGAATTTCTGGGTGTTCTGCCTGTGAATCCCGTTGTTAACAAGAGTACTGCACACAACTTGCCATGCACTGTGCTGAAATATTTACCCTGAGGTGTTTTTTCCAAATATTTTATTTATGTTTCCATTGGTTGGATGAGTTACATGCTTGTCCCTCTAGAATTATTTATAAAATTTCAGGAGCTATAAAGAGTTTCTCTTAGAACATTCTGATCTGAATTATGGATGATCCTAGATTTCCTAGCTAGTCCAAGTTGCAAAATTAAAGTCACAGGAGCAGCTGTTGACATGGGATTCTCCATGATTTATGGGAGGACCCGGGACATACTCAGCTCTGCACTGGGGCAGCCTCACCTGCAGTGCAGTTTTGAGCACAACAATATAAAAAAGACATTTAGCCATTGGAGAGCATCCAAAGGAGGCCACGAGGATGGGGAAGGCTCTGGAGGGGTGTTTTGAGGAGAGGCTGAGGGCACTTGGTTTGTTCAGCTGGAGGAGACTGAGGAGAGACCTCACTGCACTCTTCAACGTCCTCATGAGGGACAGCTCCAACCTCTGCTCCCAGGGACAGCACCCAGGGAAGGGCTGGAGCTGGGCCAGGGCAGGGTTTGGTGGGATATCAGGAAAGGTTCTTCCCCCAGAGGGTGCTGGCACTGCCCAGGGAACGGTCCCGAGGCTGCCAGAGCTCCAGGAGGGTTTGGACAGCACTCCAGGGAGGCCCAGGGTGGGGTTTTTGAGGTCTGTGCAGGGCCAGGAGCTGGGCTGGATGATCCTGTGGCTCCCTTCCAGCTCAGCACATCCCATGACTCCGTGGCACGGGGCTGGGAAGGCACCTGGCTCAGGTGAGGGAGCTGCTGAGGGAGCTGTAGGCTCAGGTGAGGCTCCCTGCCCATGGTGGCTCTGTAGGGCTCAGTCCCACAGAGCTGAGAGCACGTTCCCATCACTCTGCTGTGGGAAACAAAGGACATTTCCCATGCCACATCATGCCCTGGACCCCTCTGGCAGGTGACTTTGCTGCAGTTTAGGGTGACCAGGACAGCTGAGAGCTCAGGCCTGTGTGCCAGACCCACCTGACACAGGGGCACCCTGTTCTGTGCCCAAGCTCTGGTCTCACACCTCATCAGTGCTCCCTGATTTCCCAGAGCTGTGCTAACCTGTGCTGGGCTGGCTCTGCACACAGCAGCTCCCTCTGACCTCAGACTCAGAGCTGGAGACCCCTGCATGGATCTTTGTGTGTGCTCCGAGTCACGGGTCCTGTGCCACGGTCACCCTGCCAGTCCATTATCCACATTCCAAACGGTTCTGGGGAGCAGGAGCTCACCTGACGCTGCTGAGATGGGGTAGCCGTTCTTCCTCCAGCTGACCCGTGGCTCTGGTGTCCCACTCACCCTGCACTCCAGCAGGATCTTGCCGCTGATGTTCACCTCCATATCCGTCAGGTTCTGGATCACGAACGGCGCCGCCTTGGCTGCAGCCACAAAGGGAAAGAGCCCCCAGTCAGGTTTGGGGAGGCCCTTCCCTCACCTCCCCTCCTTGCACGGCCTCTCTGGGCTGGATGTGGCAAAGGTTTGGTCGATCAGTTGATCAAAAATCCCCCCCCCAAGGTTCTGGGAGGAGTGGGTGAGTTTATTTTGGTTTATTTTCACACTGCATAAGCTTAGGTTTGGCTGCAGCTCCAACTCCTCATGCTCTGAAGAAAACAAAGGACAGGGAGTGGGTGGTGCACATGCAGAGTGAAGGAGAAAGGAGGGGGAAAAGAGGAAACGGTTCTAAAGGTTTTTTCTCCTCCATCAGGAGTGCAGTTTTCTCCTTACTACAACCATGGTAACGCCCACTTTGTGTTCATTTACAAGAGGTGTTGGACAGCAATGAATAAAATCACAATCACAGCATAAAACACACCCCAAACTTGCACTGAGGACAGAAGATGAGGGGCATTGGAACATATAAAATGTTTGAACAGGGAGAGCTGGTTTGGAGGAGCATTTCCATGTGTGTTCTCCACAAGAACTGCCTGACGTGCCAGACAAATAACAGACCCCAGCCATCCTCACAAGAACGTGATCCTGATCCCAGTTCTCCATGGATATATTCCCAGTCTAGCTGTGTTTTTCCCACAGCAGTGCTGTGTAGGTGTGTGTGTAGGTGGAAATCTGACTGACTGAATAAAAATATCTGCCAGGGGAGAGGAAAGAGAAGGGCCTGAATGCAGAGAGCAGAGCAGGGGTGCAGCTCACAGCAGGTGATGCTCACAGGTGCTGTGGGGACCAGCCAAAGCCCCATCACTGCCCAAAATCTGGGTGAGACTCCTTGCCTGCCTCTCTCCCTCAGGAAAAGGGAGATGTTTGTGGGTGAATGGAAAGAATTCCCCTCCCAGTGTGGGATCAGAGCTGTGGCTGAGGATCTGGGTGTGTGCAGGGAAGGGATGGGGAGGTTGCACAGGGCTCGTTCACCCCAAGGCTGAAACCAGCACGGGGCTGACCCTGCAGTGCCTCCTGAGCCAGGGAGACACTTGGAAAATCCCTAATTCAGCTTCTGAGGCACTCTGACTTCTGCTCCCCCACTTGCTGCTGCGTGTCTCAGTTCTGCTCCACTTCTGTGCTTTGGGTTTCCGCCACCATCTGAAGGTGGTTCATAAATCTATCCACTCCCCATGCCAGCAGCCCTTTTTCTTCTGAGGAGGCTTGGAGATGATCCCCCACCTTCTTCACTCTGAAGCATAAGAAACTTCACTAATTTTCAGTGACTTCCTACTGGCAGAAGTGTCCTGCCCTTTGTGTTCTCACAGCCAACAGGACCAGGCTGGAGGATCTTGGTGAAATAAAAGAGTCGGGGGTTTGGGTATAAGTAAGAATTGTTATAACAAAGTGCATCCCTCTTACCCAGAATAAATGGCACAAGTCACTTGATTTTAAACTTGCCCAGGGATATTTGGGATCTGCTGGGTCCAAGCCTATTCAGGTTTCTCATCCTGGAGGCTGAGAGTGGCTACCAAAGTCATACAGATCTGGGGTGAGCATCCCAAGTTACAGCTGTGCTGTCAGTAAATGGTGGGTGACTTTTTGTCCTCAGTCAACTCTAAATCTGCACCCAGCATGGAGCTGGGAAGGCAGAATGCTGCTGAAATCACCTGCATGTGATTTCCAATAATTTGGAATACTGGAAGCGAGTGGCTGGGTGAGTGTTCTCCATGTCAGGCTGTCAATCCACACAAACTGTGTGGAAAAACAAAAACCAAAACCAAAGCAGAGCAGGACACAAGGTTTACATCAGGACATGTCCCCGTGCCACTCTCCCCTGGCACGTACCTCTGACCAGGAGCTGGCTGTGCTGCTCCAGCGTGTCCGTGCTGTTGTGCTGGTTCTGGGCTCGGCACTTGTAGAGTCCACTCTGCTCCCTGGTGACGTTGGGAATGAGCAGGGTCAAAGAGATGGAATATTTGTCCATTTTCCTGAGCACAGCGTGGCTGGGAGCTGGCTCTGAGGAGGGGTAGTACCAGGCCAGGTGGGTGTAGATGTACTTGGAGGCCCGGCAGGTGAGCTGGATGTCGTTCCCCACGATGGCTGTGACTTGGGAGGATGTTTGCAACCCAGAGGGCACATCTAGGAGGAAGGGAAAACGTGTTTGGAATTAAATTCCAGCTGAGATCTTTGCTTGGCTGCTACTTGGGGGTCAAATTTCCAGCAGTAATGGAACAAGCCAGGTTTAATGAGGCACATGGAAATGTGGCAACTGGAGCTGGGAATTAGGGAAGTGAAAGTTCCTCTCACTCCCCAGTGCTAATCTGTGCTAGTCCAGCCCTCAGCATTCTAAATCATCCCATCTCCAAGTAATGAATTGAAAGCTTATAAATAGAAGGAGTTAATGGACTGAAAGAGTTTAATCAGGAGCTGTTTCCATCCAAGTGGATAAATGTGTTTGTGAGCTCTTCCCTCTCCACAGTCAGGGCTGGGAAGTATTAATTGCAGAGGAATAAGGAAACCCATTCCCAGCCCCTCAGGAGCAACACCTTCTTAGTCACTGAACAGTCTCCTCAACTCTCTCCTATTCCAACTGTGCCAATATTTATTTTCAGCACATGTGAATGCTGCATATTTACTTGATCACTGATGGATTAACTGATCTAATGATGTCTAAGTCCTTGAGGCCCTTATATTTAGCAGAGAAATACTCTGAGTCATGACTCCAACCTAGCCATGAAAGAGTGAGCTGTTTCTTGCTATATTTTTAGCAACTTTTCACCCCAGAAAAAAAAACCCCACAAAATCGATTTTCCTGAAGTGGTGAAGTGAATCCATTTGAAAACAAGAAAAACCTGAATGGAAGGCCAGAGCCTGCCCTGCAATAACTGCCAGAGACCTGCAAGTGAATTGGGGCTGGAAGATCCTTTATTGCCTTTGGATTTTGTTAATTTTAGGGACCTATCCAGCTGAATGAAAGTTCATGGACAACCACAGTGATCTGGAATCATTCTGCTGTGTCTGTTTGGAGTTTTAAGCAGCTGAGAGTTATGAGGAGCCTCTTCTGTGTGTAACCAGGGACAGGCTCACTCTGGGCCACCTTCTGAGCAGGTACAGCTTTACATCTGAGAGATGATTCAGTGCCAAGCTGTTGGTGAGATGCTTCCTCCAACCAGGATGAGCTGGGTGGGACTTTGAGAGGTCCAGGAGTTAAAGCAGAACAAGTGTGCACTGCACTTGCCACCTGCAAATCCCACCTGGAATCTGGCCAGGGGCTCCTGCTGCAGAAAGTTCTGCAGAAGGCACAGCTGAGCAGAAACAGTGAGGCTGCTGAAATAACCAATCTGCCTTATAATAAACCACATATTCTATAAAATACAGAGCCCTGGAGGAGCCTTCAGACATGATTAAAAGTCTCTCTTCTTCTCGAGTCATCTGGAGGAGAACCCGTGAGCTTTTGCTTCACGGTTTTTAAAGACTGGCACCAGAAATACTTCACAAAAGATCCAAAAAGAGAAGAGACCCCCTCAGGCCACAGCTGTGGAAATTGTTATTTTTTCTCTTCTTTCCTTGTGCTGGGATTGCAGTTTGCTCTCTGCAGGCTGTTGTTGGGCTCAGTTGCTCTCCGCCGGTGCCAGCTGCGTGCTCAGGCTGCCTCGTGTGACACATCCACTGCTCACTCCTGACGTCCTGTGCTCCCAGCATGTCCAAATCCTGCTTATCAACACTGGGGGGGAATGTCTGAGGCCAACAAATCCTCTCTAAATGGGAAAACTGAGAGCCAGTGAAAACACCAGGCTGTGGCAGGAGCAGCATTTCACATCTCCTGAATTTCTCCGACAAAACCACGGAACAAGAGCTGCATCCCTTGGGATAAAACTGCCTTGGGATAAAACTGCCTTGGGATAAAACTGCCTTGGGTTAAAACTGCCTTGGCCACAGCACAGCTTGGGATGGGGGATTTGGTGCAAATTCCCAATGGATGGGATGTGGCCATTCCCAAGCCCTGAGTTTTGAAGGATGCTCCAGAGTTTTGCTTTGTTGCTGGACTTGAAATCCGCCAGGGTTTTTTTTTTTTCTACCAACTTAACATTCTGGGAGCAGAGGCCTGGCTTGTTTTTCTTATCATTCCTTCTCCTGACATTTTTTATTTAGCATTTTGAATATTTTTAGCTGGAACCTGTGCTATTCTCTCCCATCTTGTTTGCCTTTCAAGCAGCTCTTTCGGCTCCAATAGAATATTCATCGATTTTCATTGCAGTGGAAGGAAAAAGAGAGGAAAAAAGAAGTTGCTCTGCTCTATCTTTTCATGCTCTCCTCTCTCTTTTCTCCTCCTACCTGGATTATCAGGGGAGCGAGTGCAGCTTGCAGAGCACATTTCAAGTCAGTTCATCTCTCAGACAGCTTTGCTTACATAATCCTGAACCTGAGCAGTGATTAACTTCCTCCCTCTGAACAGATACTGTGTTTCAGAAGGCTCCTAATAAGTTGGCTAAAAGAAAGCACCACGGGGCCTTTTCCCTTTTATCAGCAGTCACCAAACATTTGTCTTTGGTGTTGTGTTACAGAGTAGTAGCTGCGAATTCCCCTCTCCACCGTGTGGGATTCTGTGGCAAAAGAGGGAAAGGAGCCATTGGGGGGAGGTAAAAAGGCAGCATAAATCAAAGGCAAGGCTGGCTCCATTTGTATTTACAAGGAATTAATTGTTTTTAATTTCCTGTGCTTTGCACAATAATCTTTGTAATTCAAAACTTCTGCTCTTACCCAAATTCCAGCCCTGGGCCTGGCAGGGGGGGTTGTCAGGGGTAGGGATGGAGAGAAGAGGGAGCCCCTCTATGTGGAGCAGTGGTGCTTGTCAGGAATCCTGTCAACACCTTGGCAATGAGCAGTTTGGAGTGGCACAAAATCCTAGAACAGCCCAGCTCATCCATTGTTCTGCTATCTGAGAGCTGATTTTTATCTCCTGCTGGAAATGCAGTATTTTCTCTCGCGTAGAAATCTTTAACTCCATTTTTCTCAGTTGTTTTGGCAATCAGATAAACCCTTGGAAAAAGGGCTTTGGTTATTATTTGTTATTCTTATCATAATTCATTTATATTCCCAGAACATTTGGAGTTTTCAGATGGGTGGGATCCCGCCTTGCTGAATGTAGTGCAGTCAGACAAAGGCTGGAATTTTATTTACTCTGGACCTGCAGCTCTGTGGAGCTGCCCTTTCCAAGGTGCAGAGCAGAGATTAGAAGGTAAATGACACTTGTCCATGGCAGAGAATCCCTGCAGGGGACACCAGGGCAGCTTTTCACTGCACTAGGGACTTTGCAGCCTGCTTGGAATGTCCTTTGGAGCTGGACAATGACATTTCTGAGCATCTGATGGCTCACCCAAGGCTCCAGTGGGAACCCTGCAGTCAGAGCAGTGGTGGGAAAGGCAGGCAGGGTCAGATCTTGATTGGATTGACACAAAACAAAAATCCCAGAGTAAGAGTTAGGCCAGGACACGATGGATGAATCCCTTTAGGGGAGACTCCAGAGGGCTGCAGAGGGACAGTGACAGTCAGGACATCTGCAGGAGGGGCTGTCACTGCATGAGGAGATTTCTCATCACTCTGGACCCCTTATAAGGTTTGGATTCTGAGTGATCTCCAAACCCTGCTGACCCTTCATGAAATGAACTCTGCTGGCAGAGAAATGATTTAAAAATAGAGCCCAGTGCTATTTCTGGTGTCCGTGGGAGTTTTTGTGGGGGTTCTGCAGTGGAAGAACAAAATGGTTGCTGACAATTATTCCACAGGGATAAATTAATTTTTCTGAAATGAAGGTGGTGGTGGTGAAAACATCAGACTGAAGTGAGCACATCCCCGGAGAGCAGCCTGGACAACACCTGAGGAAGTGCCCCTGGAATGTTCTGCCATATCCTAGGAAAACATCTCATCCCTGCCCCAGTGGAACAGGGATTTGAGGGAGTTCAGCCTCTGTGTCATCTTCAGATTTCTTACCAGGGAGAAACGAGTTAACCCAATTCAGCCAGAAGGTCTGAAAGCAGCTCAGGGAGCAGCAGCTTGTTTCTTGGTAGGAGATCATGGGAGAGCAGGTCTTTAAAACCAGTAAATTGCTGAATTAATTGTGTGCCACACTTGCAGCTGCTCTGCAGTGACCTGTGAAATGCTACAAACATTTCCTAGGTGTCCCAAAGTCCCACGTGTTGCTCCCAAGCTCTGCCCCAGCCTTCAGTTCAGCCCTTAGGTTCAACCTGCCAGAATCATGAAGTGACCAGCTTAGAGCCTTGTGCTGCTGGCCTTCCTCTGCCTGGAACCTCACAGGCTGTCCCTGGACATCCCTCAACACTGAGACAGGAGAAAACTCTTGGGGAGATTCACCTGGAGCCTGCTCCAGCTGTTCCAGGTGTGAGGATGACCTGCAGGACTCTCCCCACAGCCTGGCCCTGCTAGAGCAGCACTCAGAGCAGATCCTCCCGTGGAGGAAGCCCACAGCAGGTCACTGCTGCAGCATGACCTAGTTTAGCACCAGGATGGTCACATTTAGAAAGTTTTCATTTCTTTCTAATCCATAAACATCACTATTTTTAAATATAGCACTTCCAAAAGCCAGTCATGCTCAGTCAGCATTTGCCTCTTCCCCAGAACAGCACAGACTCCCAATTTTCCCTTCACAGGCTGGAACGAATCTGTCTTGCCAAGCCCTGGTCACCTCCTGGTCTGCTTGGGTGGAAACATTCCCACCATAACCACTGTCAGTAATTTCCCCCAGTGATTCATTTCCTTCTTAATTTGAAGTGCATGATTAAAACACTTGAGTCTCAAAACATCGCTGGATGAATCTTAAAATAAAAAATTTGAAATATTAGCTCACCGTGGGTGGAAAAAAAACTCCCCTACATAACTTTATTATTAAAATAAACCAGAGTTGTGCAAGGTGCATGGGATGATCTAACCCTTTGGATCTGACCTTATGCTCATGGCTTATTTCTCTGGGTTTAGTCACCAAGTGTGGCAGTTCTGTGAAGAGCTTGGATAACCCACCCAGACCTAACAGCTGGCTGAATTCCCAGGACACTCAACACTTGGAAGGGGTGAGGAGTAAAATTAATAACTGGTCTTCAGCCTGCCTTGGACATCTTGGGAACCTCTGATATCTGAGCTGTATCTCCTAAAAATGCACCTTGAAGGGCATTTCCCTGAGTAAATAAGAGGTAGAGCTTTGGGAAATGTCTTTTTGGAGGCTGAAAGCCTCTCCTGTCTCTTGTCACCTCTAATGGAAGTGAAATCTTCCCCTTCCATGGCTCCTGCCTCATTATTTTTGGGTGGCATTTTTCTGTTGGCCCCAATGGGAACAGTGTTTGGTGAGCCCTTTTTTTGGTTAGGAGGATTTGAAAGGTGCTGGATTCCTTTGGAGCAATGGAGTCAATCCACCCAGGAGGGAAGGGAGGCACAGGAGGGCAGATCCCTGCCACGAGCGAGCTCTGCCCTCCCAGCTTGCTCATGGGCAAGGAACCAAGCAGTGAGAATCAGACATTTACTTGCCAGGACACTTCTGCACTCTTTGTTCTAAAAATCGATATTTTGATGCAAATCCTGCCAGCCAACATCCACTCATCCAGAAATGTTCTGAGCACAGAAACGTTTCAGTTTGTTCTGGGTGAGCACTTGAACAAGGCTGTCCCTGGACTCTCCTCTCTTTTTAAAAACCTGCCATCTCGATGTAGGTGTTGATCTCACTCCTAAAGAATTCCTGTGCTGAAAGGTTAAGCAGATATTTGTTTGGATTTGTGTTCTCTGGAGAGCCTCCTCCCTGCACAAAGGGCTCTGCAAAGGGCTCCAGTGCCACGGTGCCATCAGCCCTGGGCTGGGCTGGAGCCTGGCCTTGCTCACCTTGCTGCTCATTTCCCGAGTCCAACCTTTCTCCTGGCTCAGGGAGAGGCTCCAGGCCTCTGGAACACCACAAAGGCCTCGGCTTTGCCAGAGGTTTCCCGAGGACAGTGCTGGAATGTCACCAGTGCTGCCCTAAGGCACAGAGAGAGGGACTCAGGGCCGAGGCTGGACATGTCCCACCGAGCTGGAGCCTGCCTCGTGTGGGGTGAGCAGCCTCCAAAACACAACACACAGGGATGGCCTGGGGTCTGAAACTCCCAGGGAAATCAGAGCAGCAGCAGCTGCCTTTGGTGAGGGGTTTGTGCATTTACCTGACACGTAGAACTGGATGCTGCGCTCCTCCTGGCCCACCTTGTTGGAAGCCACGCAGTAATAGATTCCTGAGGCACTGCTGTTCTCCATGGTGAGGGTGCTCACGATCTGCCCACAAAGAGAGAACAAGGAATGGCTCTGGGGGTGTGCTAGGGTAGAAAAGCTGTTAAGAAAGTTGTTTCTAGTTAAGAATGGGTGAAAGTCCCAGCCAAGTGCTGCTACTTGTGTTTTTCTCTCGTCGTCTCAGCCCAGTTAATTCTCTTCCCTCCTCGTTCCTAAACCTTCCTTTTTTCCCTGACTTACCCATGAAAAACAGGATCCTCTTTTGAGAAACTGCCAAGGTCTTTGTGTGACAACATCAAGCAAAAAGCTGAAGTGTAGGGCCTGGAGGATCCATCCAGACACAGTCCCACACCCTGTGGGTTATGTGGGGAATATCCACATTTGCACGGGAAACAAGTGATTTCCATGGATGTGGTACAAGAGGAATTGCAGGATTTTGCTTTTCCCCACAGAGAAGGGAGGGAATGATGTGCTGGGAGCCCCTTGATTCCAAAACCCTTCCTTGGAGCTGTACAGGACTCATTCAGTGAGGAAAGAAGCTCTGGAGAAGCTGCCAGGGCTGCAACACTTGGCAAATGCAGGAAGGGAGGATGGTGGAGAGGGAAGGAGCCCTTGTCCTGAGCTTCACCACATTGGAGGAGGAGGTGGTTCTGTTACTCCTGGGTCTGAACTCAAATACTTCCTTAAGAACTTGTGCTCCTTAAACCTCCCAAGGCTCCTGCTGGTGAGGCACTGCCCTGTCCCTGTCAGGGTGCAGCCTCTCAGGCTCACACAGGAATATCCACAGACCGTGCCTTTAATTATTCCGCATATTCCTTTGGAGTGTGAGCAGGAAAACAGGGCCTGAGCCACCAAGGCAGAGATGTTCTGGCAGATTCCTCTGCTTACCCTGCAGCCATTCACCTGAGGAGCTCTGAGCCCTCACATTTGGAACAAATATCACTTTCTTTGTCATCCTCTCTAAGGCTTTTGAGAATCAAAACTCATAACACCCTCTGGCCCTTTGTCCTTATCTCCAGAGAGCTCTTTGAAGTGCACAGAAGCATCTCTGGACTTTCTTTTTAATATCCTAAACTAAACTCGCACAAGACATTCCTTTACCCCTCCTAAAGCTGCCCCATGACTGTGTCTAGAGCTGTGTGGGATGTACTTTTCGAGTTATTTAAGATTTGCTGAGATCTGGCACTTTAAATCCCACAGGGAAATGAGTTCCAAAGGTTTTGATCCCATGTGCATTTCACATTTGAACAGTGAGCATTTGCAGCAGGATAAGGGCTGAGTGGAAAAGTCTTCAGTTTTTGTGGGTACCAAACACAAGAATGGGGAACCCCCAAATTCAGGGGTGAAAAAGGAGAGCAGCAAACCCAGCTCCCTCTGGTGTCCACCACAGAAAGAGCTGTGCAGTCCTGAGTGATTTATGATGTGAAAATAGCTTGGCTATAAAATCAGCCTGCCTGTGAAAGCAGCCTGCTCCTCCTCCTGGTGCTGGTCCTGGAGCAGTGGCCCGGTGCCACAGGCTGGGAACCAGCACATCTTAGAGCCCTGAGCAGCACTTTGGAATTCCTGCTGAATCAGGACCAACAGCTTTCTCCTCATGGCTGCTGGATCTGAGCATTTCATGTTTGGAAAGAGCAAAAGCCAATATAAATGAAAGTGCTGAGGACAGAAGGGGATACATTTGGACAGCTTTTTAACAGCAATTAGTCTTTCTAAGTGACAGCTCTAGCTGGGAAGTGGAGGATAACGCTGTAGAGCCAGGCAAAATCATAAAATATCCATTTTGGGACATGTCCAAAGTGTTAGGGGTGACACTGTGGCTCTTCTAAACACTGATGGAATGCCTCAAGCTGCTTGGTGGCCCAGAGGTAAATGCTCATGAACACACACACAGACAGATGCTGACATCTCCATCCCCATAACTCAGGAAAAGTCTGGCAGGGCAGTGGGAAAACAAAACCAACAAAAAAAGCAAATAGCTATCCTGAGACCTCATTGGAGCTAATCTCAGTCGTGTCTAGATATGAAGGTGAAAAAGATGGTAAGTGACAGTGGGAAACAATCTGGGGACAAATTCTTGGGGAAAAAAAACTACTGAGGAACAGAGGGAAAGTAATTTTCTTGTTTGGATGCTCCAGTCATGGCTGTGCACTTGGATCCCAGCTCGTCACACACTTGAGCACCAGAGATCAGGCACCTTCCTGACTTGGCCCACAGCTGGCACCTCCCAGAGCCCTCCAAACTGTGACTTTTAAACCAGCAGCATCCAGCAGAGATCTACATGGGATCCCAGAGCTGGCAATTCAGGATTTTGTGTGATTTTCTTGTAGGATGAATCCCATGGAATCATTCTGTATCAACCTTTCACTCCAGCTGGTTGCTCCTGGGTGAATCCCAGTTATCTTTCCAACTTCTGAAATAAAGTTCTCAGTGGTCAAACAAACCTAATCCTGGTTGGTTTGGTAGCTGAGATTTAAATCTGTGTGTGTTTGGTCACAGTGGCAGGTTAGGATAAGGATTCTGTTCTTCTAAATGCCATCCCTAATGAAAAAATGGTTTGAACTTGAGCACCCAAACTCAGGGATCTTCTCCCATTATTAACAGTGCAAACTCTGCAGGGGCACAATCCCAGGATCTGGGGACCTTTGGTAGACAGTGGAAAAATTCAGAGGGGTTAATCCCTGTGTGTGCTTAGTCCATGCACCTGGAGAAGTATTTTCCACTCCTGGAATCAGAGCCAGGGTAGAAAAGCCTGGAGTGAGTCCAGAGGAGGCCACAGAGCTGCTCCAGGGCTGGAGCCCCTCTGGAGCCAGGCTGGAAGAGCTGGGGATGCTCACCTGGGGAAGGAGCTGCTCCAGGGAGAGCTCAGAGACCCCTCCAGGGCCTGAAGGGGCTCCTGGAGAGGGAGTGGGGACAAGGGATGAAGGGACAGGACACAGGGAATGGCTCCCAGTGCCAGAGGACAGGGATGGATGGGATATGGGGCAGGAATTGATCCCTGGCAGAGTGGGGAGGGTACCCAGAGCAGCTGGGGCTGCCCCTGGGTCCCTGGAATGTCCAAGGCCAGGCTGGATGGGTTTGGAGCAGCCTGGAACAGTGGAAGGTGTCTCTGCCATGGCAGGAGTGGCACTGGAGGGTCTCTCAGTCCCTCACACCCCAAACCCCTCTGTGATTCCATGATCAAGGCAGGGCTCACCCCACAGCTGCTGCTCAGAAAACCCAGAGCTCAGCACTCTCTGCTGAGCTGAACAATGATTGATGTGAAACCTGCAATTGCCTTCAAACTTTGTGTGTCTGCCCTGCAAATGCCATCAGTGAACCACTCAGAGCCTGGAAATGTGCAGTTCCCAATTTCCCTGTCCCTGTGAGCATCAGGGATATGTTCCCAGCTGCCACAGGGCTGTCCCACCCTCAGCTCCTGTGCAGGCAGCACTGGCATGAGCCTAATTAATAACAAATTATTGGCATGTCGTGTCTAGACATCTTCCTAGTGGGAGCTGGATGGGATCCTGGGAGTTCACTGCATACCAAACACATCCCAGGCTTGGATTTGGAATTAAGGACTCCATTTCCTATTACTTAACCTAAAGGCCACCCAATACTGTGAGCCCAAGGAAGGGATTATTAACTAATAAATAATTACTAAGGAAGAATAAACTAAGTTTAAAACTCAATAAGCAAAGGAATAAAATGACTGATTTCTGAAGAACAGTTCTGACAAGTAAATAGAGCTTGCTGCTGGGACAACTCCTGATGGAATAGTTCAATAAAGTCCATATGTAATGTTCCCAAACTGATAAAAATAAGTTATTTTAGAAGCAGCCAAATAACATTCCCCAGCCATGCACTGTGAGTGTTTTGAGACATCTTGTAGTAAGGACAGAGCAATGAGACCTTTTTTAAGCTGGAGCCAGCATGAATTAATATCTCTTGTTATTCCTTGCTTTTTCTTTCCTTTGTCTAATCCCTGCCCTCCCCGAGAACTTTAGTGAACAATCTTTCCTCTTTCACTTCGTTAGCTCTCCGTGGGCGAGGATGAGGAGTGGAAAACGTGGGTGGAAAACTTCTCAGCTGTCTGAGTCTGGCAGAGCTGGGCTGGAGGTGGCTGCAGGGAGGTGGAATTATAGGAACTTCAGCAGGGACCCTGCACAGAAAGCGTTCAACTCACTCCTAATCCATCCACTTGAGTGGCACACGAGGACACTTGTTTGCATAGACTGACAGTCCTGATCCAGCATTGGAGTTCATTCACTCAAAACATGCTAAAGGATGGGCTGAGGATGAGTGAGAAGTCTGGGAGCCGGCTGAGACCTTCCAGCTTTGCTCCTACCTCTGGCAGGGGGGGTTCTCTCCCTGGTGCCTTCCTCAGTGTGAGCAGAGCTGGGTGGTCAGGAAACTGGGCTAACTGGGCTGGAACTGGGCTAACTGGGCTGGAACTGGGCTAACTGAAGGTTTGAGGTGTCCCTGGACTAATCCCCCTCCAGCCCCTAGAGAAGGTGGGTGAATCCTGGCTGGTCCTGAGCAATCACCACTCCCTGCTCCTTCCTCCAGTGACTGCAGGCTTTTTGTTCTTTTTGTTCCTTCAGAAGGTCTAAACTTAGCATTTTAGGGTTCATTTTCTTGAGTGGTTGTAAATTTAGGAGGTCAGGGAAGACAAAGGGCCAGTTCTACTGTCTCTGCTGCTGGCCAGGCTCTCACCAGAGCCAGCAAGAGCAGATCCAGGTGCTCCTGGGCAGTGCCTGACACACCTGGGCTGATCCCAGGCAGTGGCTGCTGTGTCCCTTCCCTGTGTCCCTTTCCCTGGTGTGACAGGGCTGGAGAAGCTCCTTGAAGTGACAGGTTTGAACAGCCTGGCTGAGCTGCTCACACACATCTCACCACACACATCCCACTGCTCTAATGTAATCTTTTTGCTCCTTCAGGAGGTCTAAACTTGGCATTTTTGGGTCAGTTTTCTTGAGTGGTTGTGAATTTCACCAGCAGAAACACCCACGTGGCCTGGCCACTCTCATACAGACATGAAAGGGAGAAAAGAGATGAAAAGAACCCCCCAGTGAGGACTGAATTATGCATGAGTCTTGCTATTCCCTTCTGCTGGTCCCAAACTCAGGCCAGTTTGTTATTTTGCTAACAGGAAAGAAAATAAAACAGCAACCTAGCTCCTTGTGACTTGAAAAGTCAGGCAGTTCCTGCAGTCACGGGTGTTACACCTGGTGTGAAAAAGCAGATTCAGAGGAGCCATGCAGTGCTTAAATCCCAAAGTGAGAAGTTCAACATGGAGTCAAAACCCCAGGAAAAATGAAATTATCACAGTACAACTGCCTCCACCACTGTTTGACCAAAACTTCACTGAAGTGCATCAGAACCTGAACCACAACCTCGTGCTTTTCCTCAGGATTGAGGCTCTTAGGAAGGTGGGAGGAGGTGAAATTCACTTTTCTGTCTGTGGAATACTCATGGAATAATCATGATGAGGATGATGACAAGAGAGCTCGATTTTACATGGCACTTCTGTCAGGAGATGTCTGAAGAGCTTCATGTGATCAAAGAGCACCGGGAGTTTGCTGAGAAAAACCATTCTTGCTGCCCTGCCAGCTTGCTTTGGGCAAATTTTGGGATCTGGTGATTCCAGGGGAGTTATTCCCATGTTTTTAGCAGCTCTAAACAGTTAATGCAAGTTTTCACATGTGGCTGGACCAGCTTTTATTGCTGCAGCTCACAAGGGTGAACTCTTGGGTGCTGACAAATCCTAGAGCCCAGATGAATTCCACCTTCTGCCCAAGACTCCAATGCTCATGGGACAGGCTCAGATCCCACAGGAAAATCCCTGAGCTCAGCTAATCCCATGTTCCTAACACAGTTCCTCAAAGTTCAGACTCCAGCACCTTTATTTCTTCACCTCCTTGGTCAATGCAGGTGAATTAATTGCTGGGACATGCTGGGAATGGATTTGGCTCTTTCCTGTCTGTTCCATTCCTGGTGGGAATAACAACTGATAAAACTCATGGAAAAGTCTGAAGACTTGTTCCTCAGTGACTTTTTAAAAAATGATATTCTATAATATAAAGTCTGCAATTAACACAGAGCCTTGAACTTCAGAAAGAGGGAAGGAGAGGAACTGGCTGCAATAAAAGCAGGGAGTGAAACCTGAGATTGCTGTAATTGAGTTATATTCATTTCAATAAATCTTAATCAGGACACAAGAATTAATAGGAAACACCTCAGACTGTGTTGTCAGCCCGGGAGAAAAAGAATGAATATAATATAAATTGTGAAATTGTGTAGCTTGTAACTTTAATAATGAAATATGTAAAAGCTGATTATCTATCTATCTATCTATCTATCTATCTATCTATCTATCTATCTATCTATCTATCTTTTAGGGGGTTGCTTTTACCTAAGATGTAGAATTCCTGAAAAATCATTAAAGCCAGAGCTTAAGGGGCATTGTGCCATCTAAATAAATCCAATTTATAAATATCTTCCAGCAATGGAAAAAGTCGGGAATGAGGGTGAACGCTGATTTTCTCCTTCCCAGCCCAAGCTCCCTGTTTTCAGAGCTCTGGTTTGGATTATGTTTAGAACTGGGAAGTCTCCCTGAGAAAGAGCAGATGGCTGAGGCACTGATCCTGCCAGATGCTGATTTAGTCTGGACCCAGTCCAGACGAGCACTTTAGTTTTGTGCTTAACTTTAAGCACGGGAGTAACTCAAGAATTCTCCCATGCTCAGAGGTGAAGCAGGATTTGAAGAGCAGCGCCCAGCACCCTGCAGGAACAGACACGGAACCATCCAGAACTTCCACCTGGGAAGCTGGAGCTCCAAACCCACTCCTGAAGCCAGCAACCCCTGCAAGTCCAGCAGGTGATCCCAGCCAGAGCCCAGCAGAGCCAGGAGATCCTGAATCCACAGCAGATTCCCAGCCTGGATGTGTGGAACATCAGCCAGGATCACCACAGTGAGGGACACTGCACAGGCAATTAATTCCTGGTGGGATCACACTGGAAGGGTGATCCCAGTGCTGTTGGAAAGGGGAGCAGGCAGGGAAGTGTCTGAGGAAGGTTTTCATTGTGCCAGGGAAGTGTTTCAACCTGAGAGCTGCATCTCTGGAAATCAGAGCAGGTACCTGAGGCACTGGAGCCAAATTCCTGGGCAGCTCCTGCTGCTGGGAGTAGAGAAAACAGGGCAGGAAAAAGGGGGCAGGAAAAAGGGGGAAGGATAAAGGGGCAGGATAAAGGGGCAGGAAAAAGGGGGAAGGATAAAGGGGCAGGATAAAGAGGGAAGGATAAAGGGGGACAGGATCAGGAGCCCTCCAGGTTTCATGAACTCAGAGTCTTTATCAGCGTTCATATCATAGCACCCCTCGAACTGAACTACTCTCACACTTTCTCAAGAGTGAGGGAAACAGAAGATTTTGACCCAGAAGTCTTGGGAGAGTTTAAACAGAGTGTGTGACATCATTCCCAAATCCCAGCACTCATAAACAGCAGAGATCTGGGATGATCCCAGCACTGGGGAATTCCAAGCATGCTAAGAACCCTCAGCAGCTTGGGAACCACGAGCTGGGGGTGAGCATCCCCTGACATCATCCCCAGGCCATCCCACACATACCTTTAGTTTATCCCCCAGCCTCTTGGGGGTGTTCTCGATGCTCCTGATCTTGTTTCCTATGACTGTGTTCTCCCAAACCTCAACTTTTGGCCCCTCAGGATTGCACCTGGAGGTAGAAAAGCAGAGATGATGTTCAAGGCAAGCAGGGGGGTGTATTGGAGAGAGAAAATGTCAATCTTAAAGAATAATCTTGGGTCTTAAGTCCTCTTAAAGAAGTGCTGCTGCTGGAGCCTGTTTTTGTGAAATTTTTGTGAAATTCCTCCATTCCTTCTTTGCAACATTTCAAAATTATTTACAAAGCACCTTGACAGAGGCAAACAAAACCAGTGCTTGACCAACAGTGAACCCCCCAATCTTTGCAAAGATTAGAAATCGAAAATACCTGACAGTTAATTGAATAATGGGAGTTTTATCTGGCTAATGTAAGTTACATTTCCAAATTCAAAATGCCAGTCCTTCCAAACTGCGAGGATGTTGCTGAGTGTTTGTCTGTGCCCAGCTTCCAACAAAAAGTGTGGGCTGAGGGTGTAGAACAGGTAAATACTGGGAGAGAACAGCAGGAGGTCCCTTTAATGCTGCACATTCCACAGAAAACATTTCTAAATCTTCATTTTGGAATATGGGCAAGGAGCAGAGTGTGTAACATGTCGTGTGGGAAGGTCCAGGTGTTGCTGCTTCATGCAAATTGAGATATTTGTGTCCTTTCCTCAAGGTGAAATGAGGTCTTCCAAAATTTTCTGCAGGTCCCTTAGTCTCTCAGACATTCTGTCCATTTATTAAATAACTTCAGACTAATAACTAATAACTCTTTATGCCTTAGTTGCTATCCTGTAGCATTTACCTCTAGCAAAAGATTTCCCTTCAGATCAGTTTACTCCCTATTTTATTTAATCTCTTTGTTTTGGTAAAACATTGTTTTAAGCAATGTTTAAAGCATAGTTTTAAGCATGTTTAAAGGTTTAGTTAAACCTTTGAAATCTTCCCTCCATTATTATTACCATTTTTTTTTTCAAAGTATGCAAGCTGCAACAGAGATACCTTAATGGTAAACAGCTTTTGTTCTTTATTGAACAATTGCACCATCCAGGGAAAAAAACTTTCCTGTCTTCCTCAACTTGCTAAAGCCAAGCAGAGACACAGTTCTTCTCACTCCTAGAAATGCTTTGAGAAACCACGGGGTTTCAGGAGGTAAAATTGACTTTTCTAGGCACTGATGCTGCAGAAAATTCCTCCATAAATCAGCCCTGCCTTTGCCAAAGCCACACAAAGCACAGGGGCAACTCCCTGGGTCAGGGGAGGCTTTGCAGCTCTCAGAAGGGACTCATTAGAAGATCTTGAGGGACTTCCTGCAAGGCACAATCCTGTCCTGAGGATGAAGGGGAAAAGCTGAGAGGAAGTAAAAATCACATCCCAGCTCTAAGGAACAATGCTGGTGCTCAGGGACTCAAAGGGCACTGCTGAGGCAGAGTGGGGGGAGAGAAAGAGAGAGAGAGGAAGTCAGACAACAGAAGGAAATGGGGGCTGTGTCATTTCCCACAGGAATCCTCCTCCAGCTTCTGCTGCAGTGAGATAAGGTTGCCCCTGGGGCCAGCAGAGGTAGAGCCACTCTGCAATTGTATTTAAATAGATAAAATCAGAGAGCTGCAACAAGGGTTATGTGAGGTCCTTTGCCACCAGGTCACCGGTTTGGATCTGGTTGAGTTTGGCACTCATGGCCAATTCTCTCTCCCCAAGACAGGTCTGGAAAAGATTTTGGGTCACCTCTGTGGCTTTCCTAAGGATGCAGGATCTGTTTCCATGTGGTGTTCGCACTCTGCTCTTGTTGAACCCCTCCCAAGCAGAGCCCTGTGCCTCCTGCTGCCCTGCAGAGCCAACAAAGCCATCAAATCCTTGAGTTTATTCCCAAAAAAGGTGGGTAACCGCGGGATTCCTCCCTGGGACAGGCACACGAGCCGGGGCTGGATCACCCAACATCCCTGTGCTGTACAGAAAACCTGGGAAAGGATTTCTCCCCAATTTCCCCCTCTCTCATGGCTTGCCATTCACAGCAATAAATGAATGAGAAAATAAGGCACTATCCAGCAATTTTCTCCTTCACTTTCTAGATCTGTCTTCCTTCTTTTAAAATGTGTGGAAAACCCGATTTCATCCCTCTCACTGCAGGGAGGAGCTGACGTGGTCAGGGCTGTGCAGGACGTGCCCAGGGGCTACCAGGGAAGGATGGGCACCAGCCAAGGCCTCTCTCTGCAGACCCCTCTGCTCAGGGAACTGCAGGAGCAAGGGGAATGTCTCCTTAGGCAAATCTCCAAAGGCATCCTGCTTTTCCCTGGCCTCCTTCTTCTCTGGCAGCTCTGACCCAGTGACTTTGCCAGCAAAACCTGCAGCACAGAAGGGTCCCCAGTACGACACAATTCCCTCTCCCAGCTTCAGGGACACCGAAGCTGCCCCAGGAGACTGAGAACTGCCATGAATCCCATATGGATTTAAGGAAGCCAAAAATCTGTCTGGAAATTGTCTGGAAAAAGCTCTTGAGGGGCAAAAGGTGTGTTAGCTCAGCCCACAAATCCTGCTGGTTTTTCTTTGTCAAGTATTCACAGCATTCAACAGGGCCAAAGAAAGTCAGAGGGGCACTGTTGGTCAAGGTAAAGGAGAATTCAATGATCTTTAGTCACTTTAAACTCATTTAACACAATTCAGGTAATGCACAAGGTGCACAAACACAACCAGACACCAGCTGAGCTCAGAACCCTGGAAATCTTCACTCTGATTGTGATTTTAGCTCAGATAAATAGGATGGAGTAGAAAGCAAACCTGACTGGAACATGTTCATCCATGGGGACATCACTTACAGGGTGTCTGTGATGTTGCAGGGCTGCCACTTCCACTGGATGCTTGGCTCGGGGTTCCCGCTTGCCGTGCACGAGATTTTGTGTTTGCTTCTCAATTCCACCTTCACAACCTTATCAAAATCAGTCTCCTTTTCATAGATCTTGGGTCTCTCTAAAGAAAAAAAACCCCACAAAAATGCAAATGAGCAAATTTACATCCATAAAAGGTTTTGCAACATTTTGCTGGGAGAAGTGATGATCCAGTGAGGCTCCTGATGTTGTGGGGAATTCCAGCAGTTCTGCAAATATTCCTTCACAGATACAAGGGTGTTGGTTGCGGTATTTCACAAAGCACATTGCAATGCTACCACATTCATCCCAATCCCTTTCAAGGGCTGCTGGGGACCTGCTGGACTTCTGGAAAATTCATGCCATGGAACATCTCTTGGTCAGGGCTGCAGGATCAGGATCAGCCCAAGGGCTGTGGGCAAAATGGGATTGGAGGGCTGATGTCCCCTCCTGAGAGGAACCTCATCAGCTACAGGCACCAGCTCCTCAGGGCTTTGGGAAAAAGCATCTTTTTCACCTGAAGTCTTTCCTTTTCTGTGTGTGTAAAATCCATGCACTGGATGGAGGGGAGAAGAAAGCGAGGAAGGAGAGGTGTGGGGAAAACACTTGGAGAGAAATGCCAAGAAATTCTCACCAACCACAACGAATGCCATGAGAAATGTCACGGCATTACTCACATCTGGAGGAGCTGCAAGATCACACCCTCAGACTGGAAATCTCTCTTTTTGTGACACTTTCAGGGCTGCTCGTTGCCAGCAGGAAAGAAACGCTTTGTCCTGTCTCCTTCCAGCTCCCACGGGAAGGCACGGAAAGGAGGAATAACGGGAAAAAAGCCCCAAAGTGAACTGAACTTTTGCTAACCTCGGACAGGGTGGCTTTGAGATTGGGGTGAAAGCACAGGCTCTTCCCTTGTGCAGACAGCTCTGCCCATCCCTGGCTGGATCTCTTTGTCTTCTTCTCATAACAGGAAATCGAACAGATTTATTGGTGGGGTCCCAGTGTGGGACACCCCTGTGCAGCCAAGGGAGGCTGCTCTGCACCGAGCCCTTCTGACAAGCTGGGAAGTGAATGGAGATTAGATTTCTATTTTTTGGGCTAACTTATTTTTTTCTGCTGTCAGGGAGGGCCCCAGATATGTAAATATGAGCTATTGCCCACCTCATCAATCTTGAGCCCTTTCCCTCTTTTTATAAAATAGTCTTTCTTTGCCTTCCAGCCCTCTTAGGAGAGCACTGACCAGGCTGATCCCGTGCCTTGTTGGGACTCTCACTTGGCATTTCTCATGGTCAGGCTCTGAAAGATCTTCTGACCTCACCAGTGCCTGAAAACACATCAGTATTTCCTTCTCCACCCCATGGAAGCATTGACTGGAGTAGGTTCAGCCGTATCCCATCCTGTCATAAAACACTGGCTGTTCAAAGGACCTTCAGGAGGTCCTGGTTTACATTTCCCCTGAGAAACCCAAATGCTGGCCCCTGTTTGGTGTGGCTCCCGTTGAGCTGAGCTGAAGGATTCCACGTGCTTGGAGATTCCTGAGGAACTCACAGGACAAACTATTGGAACTAACAGTGAATTTCTTTAGCTTGCATCTCATTTCCCATCAGTAAATTATTTCTGATCATAAAAAGAATTCTGTAAATTCTCCCCAGAGGGAGAAGCACATTTTTTATTATCTTGGGCATTTCTCTTTTCAGCCTCAAATCCTGGCTTTGACATGTCTGGGCTAACCTCACAAGTGTGATTTCACTTGAAGAAAGATTCGAAGTTCAGTGTGAAAGGTGACTCAAGTGTTGATTTTTGGGCTGTAACAATAAAGCTTTACACACTTGGGCATGGGAACTGGTGTTTGTGTGTGTGAAAGAGCACGGGGAGACAAGGACTGATCACAAACATTTAATATCAGGACGTTTTTCTATATTCTTGGTTGACTGGCATTTAAATTGTCCTTCTGAAAAAGAAATAATAATTTAACTTGCTCCAACTCTAACAAGAACAGGAGTGAGAAGTGAATTCTTCATGCCACAATTATGGCACTGTTCAGTATGACTTGAGACCTAAAACGAGTCCAAATGATTCATCAATTGAAATAATCGTTATTTATGATCAAGCAATTATTTTAAGTGTGAAGGGAAACGCCTCCCCATCTGTTCTTTCACAGGGTGGGGTGCTGGCTGATTGTGGGCACAAATTCAGAGATTGAAGAATTTTTCCTATTGTCTGTGCCCTTCTCCTGCAGAGGTGGTGTCACCCTGCAGGTGACCCTGCTCAGGTGTCCAGGATGGGGACAGGGCCCTTCCACACCCCGCAGTGCTCCCTGCAGGCTGCTGGCTCTGGAGCACTGAGGGTTTAGGGGGCAAAATATCTCCTATGGGAGATATTTCCTGGGATGAAACCTTTCCAACTCTCTGCCATGGCCATTCCACTTCTGAGTGTGCCCCTGCAGGCAGATGAAGCTTTGCCCTTCCCCTTGCTGGGCCAAATCCTGTCTGCAGCAGTTGCCTCCATGGGTGATGGAAACCTGATTTTAACAGGTTAAAAGCTCTTTAATGGCAATTTTCATTCTGTCTCTGGTGGTTTGTAGTAATGTAGGTAGTATAAAAGGAATGTTAGTCTGCCTGTTGTGGTGCACCTGCATTCCTGCCAATCTCACACAGTATTTTCAGAGTTCTACAGTCAGGATCTTATCTGTGGTAACAGCTGTGAAGAAAGCTGGTTTCTGGGGTGGGACTGGCATTTTGGATTGGCTCAGACTGGCTGGTTCCTCAGGGCTGGCCCCTGCACAGAACCTCACCTGCAGAGGGGATGTGAGCCCAGAGCCTGGCGTTACTGAGGGTACCCCTGGCAGAGTTTCTCTCTGCCTCCCCCTCCAGACAGAGCTTTGACTCTGAGCAGCACAGGGATTGTGCACAAACCCTTATCCCTGGGGGTCCAAATCCCTCTGCCAGCACTGCCAGGGCAGCTCTTTCCATCCTTTCCTTCGCTCTGTATCCCACTGTGGCTCCCCAGGCCCTCCCCAGGCCCTGCTCCCCTCAGCCATGGCCCTTCCTCAGGCCCTGCTCCCCTCAGCCACGGCCCTCCCCAGGCCCTGCTCCCCTCAGCCATGGCCCTTCCCCAGGCCCTGCTCCCCTCAGCTACGGCCCTCCCCAAGCCCTGCTCCCCTCAGCCATGGCCCTTCCCCAGGCCCTGCTCCCCTCAGCCATGGCCCTTCCCCAGGCCCTGCTCCCCTCAGCCATGGCCCTTCCCCATGCCCTGCTCCCCTCAGCCACTGCCCTCCCCAAGCCCTGCTCCCCTCAGCCATGGCCCTTCCCCAAGCCCTGCTCCCCTCAGCCATGGCCCTTCCTCAGGCCCTGCTCCCCTCAGCCATGGCCCTTCCACAGGCCCTTCTCCCCTCAGCCATGGCCCTTCCCCAGGCCCTGCTCCCCTCAGCCACGGCCCTCCCCAGGCTGAGCTCCCTCAGGCAGAAGCCAAACAAGCCTTAAAAGCTTTCTGCTCCCTGGCTGTGTGGGGAAGGCTGTGCGATGCCTTTAACAGTATCCAAATAAATGGCTTTTCGTCCTCTCTGGCTCCAAGTGTGATTGTATCCCCAGCTCGCCTTGCAGAGGTGCAATTGCTGCTGTGAGAGCTGACCTGAATAACTAAAGACTTGGCTGCTGCTGCACTGGGAAATGCAATCAAAAAGCACTTCTGCTTACTGTAGGTTTCAAATTGATCAGCATTATGCAAATCTCACCTTCCTCGCTGCTCTTATCTCCAGTTTGTGGCTTTAGGAGCAGATAATATGCACAAGGATTAGGACATGAACCCAGCCTCTTCTCTCCCTAAATTCCTTGCAGGTGCTGTGAGGGGTTGTACACCTGTCACCCAAATATAAAGGACAGCACAGAGAAAGTTTCTCTGCATTTTGTAGAGAAACTTTGCTTTCCTTTCAGTGCCCTCTGACTGAACTGCTGTTTATGCACCTTCCCACTACCATTTAAGCTGCTTCAGAAAATCTTTTCACATTAAGCACATCATTAAAATAACATAGAGAGGCCAGTGAAGCATTAATCTCAACCTTAGCTACTTTTCCTGACATGGGGCTTCATTAAAACCCTTGATGGAGTTGCAACTTGTTTTCTATTTATCTTTTCTGTTTCCCAAAACCCAAGAAAATATTTGCACTTGGGAGCCTTCTATCTGATGTTTGTACAGTACTTAATGGAAATCCAAGTGAATATTCTGTAAGGTAGAGAGGCAAATTTCTAGTGCAGGCTTGGACTGGGAAAGGGTGAAATTTCCCCCAAAGTAAAACCCAAAAGGAAAAAGTTGTCTGGGTTGGCTTCACATTTCTTTCCTTTCCTTTTTATTAAAAGGAAAGAAGGAAAAACACTGAGTGAAATGACCTGAAAACACAACTTTGGTTTCAGACTGACCACTGCATTGTGTTTGAGCCTGGCTGATTTTGGCTGGGGGTTTTTCTGGAGCTGATTGTTGCTGTTTTGTTGTTTTTCCCATGCCCTGCGCCCAGAGCTGCTCTCAGGTGGGTGCACAGCCCTGTCCCCACGGAACCTGTGAGGAAACAGCTGAAAACAGCACCCAAAATCTCTCTGTGAGTCAATACCACAACCAGGAATAGAATTAGGGACAGGATTGTGCCTCTGCCTGATCTCCAGCTGCTCCATTGTGACCCTCTGGAATGGGCTGGGAATGCCAAGGCTGGGAGAGAAGCAGGAGGAAGAGAAATGAAGAAAAATCTCAGAGGACTTGACCTGCCCCACAGGGAATTTTGGTGTTAAAATGACAGTGCAGCTTGGTTTGGGTTTTTCTGACCTGTGTCACTCCTGGATGTCTCTCTCTTCCCAGAGCAGGAAGAAATCTCTTTTCCAGTGCTCTCTCAGAGCTGTCATCCACCCCTAATGCAGCTTTGGGGCAAAAAAAAGGGATTTCTCTTATCTGTCTCTCCCCATCTTATTTTTTACAGAGTTCAGGAGGAGGTGGATAATGAAGAACTGCTCACTTTAAGCAGAGCAAGCAGTTTTGTAGCATTTTTCTCTCTGTCCCCTTTGCCTGCTTTCCAAAAGTCAGTAATGTATCTGCAGGTTGGCTGAGGGACAGCATGGGAAG